AGCGGGGTGGTCTAGTGTCGGCTTAATGTGGGAGAGGGCCAGCGGGGTGGTCTTGTGTCGGCTAAATGAGGGAGAGGGCCGGTGGGGTAGTTTAGTGGTTAAAAATGTTCACTCATCAGGCCAGGTTTGTTTCACCACTTGAGCACAGTGAGTGAAGCCCATATTTGGTTTCCTTGCTGGAACATTGCTAAAAGGGACATAAAACTATGTTCACTCACTAATATGGAGACCCGTGATGATCCAGGTTAGACTTGATCTTCAGGTATACATGCTGGTCATATGAGGCGACTAACAGGTTTGGATGGTCAGGCTCGCTAACTTGGATGACACATGGCACCATATCCCAATTGTGTAGATCGATGTTCATGCTGTTGGTCACGGGATTGTCTGGCCTAGACTCGATTATTTACAGACCGCCGCCATGTAGCTGGAATATTGCTGAGTGCATCGTAAAACTCCCTCACTCACTCACTGATGTGGAAGGTAACCCTGATTTTAACGTTTACCAATTGGACGAAGCTCAGGAACATGTGCTGACACAGGATCAAGTTTGAAGTTGTTAATTTGATAGCCAGACCAATTTTATTTCTCAGTTTACGGATTTTTGTCCTCAGAAAACCTAAAGGCAGGAGGGGAAAAAAAAAATCACCTGTCAAAGCAAAAATCCACAAGCGTTTCAGAGGCATTGTTTTTCAAGTTCACACTCCCTGAGATGCTCGAAGCACTGATTTTTAACACAAATAATGTTAAATAATTCAGTTTAAAGTCTCTGAGAACAGGTACCGGTGTTTTAGTGTCCAACAAACTACCTTGTGTAGTCGAAGTCTCCCATATATCTTTACATTAGGATTTTATTTTTTGAGCGGGGAAAATTTATTTATGTTTTTTACATTATTCTTGAAAAAATACAACCGGCAGATCCGTAAAACAAGAAATAAAATTGGTCTGGCCTTATCACTTGTCAATTTGTGTATGTATGTGGGATAATGTTAATAGTAGCAGTGAGATATGATACACCATCAAAGAACTTTAAATAAAGAGTCACTCAATGCTCAGTCCATATTTAAGCCCTCCTGTGTCAATTTTTCGAACGTTTACACCTGACAGGAGTTGTGCTTCAGTGACCCAGCGTAAGGAAGTGGCAAGGTGTGTTTAACTTTGATCGTATGTTGTCGTCTGCTGGGCCCTGCATGTCACCCCACTGGATCACCTCACATCGGCCCACGACGACCACATTGGGGCAGGTGTTGACGTGATCAGCAGACGTCACTGCTGCACTTTCTAAACTGCTAGAATTGAATGGAACTTTAATTGTATTTACCGTATCATCATTAACATGACAGTGAATGTGGAAAGCTCTTATCTAATAATCATATGGCATTCGACAAGCTCTGCTGGTTCATTCATAAAATAGGGGTGTGTGTTGACATTTAGAAAGTGCATGTGAAAAGTGGGATTTTATGAATAGCGTTGAATGCATGACCTCCGGTTTGCTGAGCAGTACTTTAAATTCACTTCTGTATTTTTAAGTTACTGACGTTCATCATTGTGTCCTAACCAATCCCATGTCTGAACTCCAACGACAACAATATAATAGTATTTACCGTCTCTACATCAGCCCTGCTGAATGCTTGACACAATTTTTTAAACAGGTCCAAACACTTGAACATCTTAACACCATTTATACAGAAAGTAGGTGTGATATCAGCCCATTGTGTATTCATGTCCACATTCCAAATTGTAATATTTCATTTTCTGAGCATGTGGACATTACAAATTGTAATATTTAGTTTTTTGAGCATGTGGTGCGATGTCAATCTTCTCTCCGTACATGTGTGCCCATGTCAAGTCGGCCCAGTGTGTTCACATGCCCGTCTTGCAATTTACGTGTTTTATTTGACTTCTCATGAACTGTTGGTGCTAAGTGTGAAATGGTATACTGAGGTATTAGTAGAACCGTGGTATTTTGTTTTCGTACCGTTATTTCTATCGCGTCATAAAATGACATCTCATTCAAAGTAACAAAGATTATTGTTATTTTTTCCCAATGTTATTAAACAATGTAAGGTTTGTTGTCAATTTTCTGCATTATGATCATGTCTCATATACCAAACTGAAACGGACTAAACGGAAGGCCTTGTATCACAATAAGATCGTACCGTTTCAGCACTAGTTGGTGCGCTATATGTCTTTTTCTTCATATCTTTTCAATTGTCTTCTCACATCTGTGTTAATATTTGCCTGAATTGACTACAAGGGATTAAAATGAGACTTCAGAACCCTTGCTGAACAATGCAATTGACATAAGAAATACAACATTCCAAGAAAATATTGTACCGGTATAGAGAAAAATATTCAGAGTTGTTCATCAGAAAACTCAGTACCTTTAGTGTAGCATGACAGTGGAACTGAATTCAAGCATCTTGTTAGATAGGGTCATGGGGCAGCCTGTCGTACAGACCCTGAAGCAAATATATCCAAGAAAGCCCATGCAAGTCTAGAAAATGTTGCAAGTCTAGATTTCCTCAGCTTCACTAGAAGGTTAATAGTCATATGACTTATACCACTGGGTACCCATTCACTGCTGGGTGACCAGAGGCAATTTTGAACAAACCGACTTGTCTAAAGTCTCAGGGCTCCTTTTCAGTATATTTCTTTTTTTACTATGAACTTTTTTTCAGTAAAATATGTTCATGTCAGAGACTAGTTGTTAGTCTAGGGCGTGGGGTAGCCTGGTGGTTGAAGCGTCCGCTCGTCAAACTGAAGACATGGGTTCAATTCCCCACATGGGTACAATGTGTTAAGCCCATTTCTGGTGTTCTCCGCCATGATATTGCTGGAATATTGCTGAAAGCATCATTAAACATAACTCACTCACTCACTCATAAGCTTGACACTAATCTAAGCTTGATAAAAGTGATGTAAAACAATACTCACTCATGCTTGTTAGAAAGGATAGATTTGGTCGGATATAGCATTGATTTTAACTTGCTGCATCACACAGATCTGAATTATTCCATAGTGTTTTCCTGATTTCCAATACATATCTGCAGCATATGCTTCTGGTGTTGCATGGACCCGTGAAGGTCCGGGTTAGAATATTGATCTTCAGTAACCCACGCTTGTCATAAGAGGCTACTAACGGGATCGGGTGGTCAGGCTCGCTGACTTCGTTGACACATGTCATCGGATCCCAATTGCGCAGATCGATGCTCATGCTGTTGATCACTGGATTGTCTGGTCCAGACTCTATTATTTACAGACCGCCGCCATATAGCTGGAATATTGCTGAGTGCGGCTTAAAACTATACTCACTCACTCACTCACTGGTGTTGCATGTGTTATATATGCGGACAAACTTTATGGATGAACAACTTCTTTATTCGGATGATACGATGTTACAATACAGATTCTTGTATCATGTCAAGCAAGTATGAGTCAGGTAGAAAACAGGGTAATATGTATACAGAAAATAATTAACTAAACCAACAATGACGTTAATGATGTTAATTGGGATGTACAGTGACAATGTGATGACAAGGGATTCCAAAGTACAGAGAGGTTTTACTGACATTTGCTCCATGCCTGGGCCTCTGACCAGGTCAAGATAAACCTTGGGCTTTTCTTAAATATATTTAAAAATATTTCCTTATCTCAGGTGTTTGTCTATTGTTGGAGTGTTGTAACTTAAAAATATTTGATATTTAAACAATGGTTGATGTGGGCTCAATATAAGCATTTGGAACTTGCACTGCAGCCCAAAACTGCTATATGCAATCCTGTACCAACTTGCACTCTCTGTGCAAGTGAATAATTTGCTATTCAAAGAGCACCTACTTCAGCTGAAACACTGAATGATGAGGAAATGGCTTGAAAAGTGACTCTATTGGATGGATTGACTGTTACTGTTCATGTCATGGCGTTTTTTTTTTATAAAGTAAGATATAACGGTCTTATCAAACTACGTATCAAATTTTGTTATAATGATGTTCTAAATTATCGATACCAAAACTCAAGCAATATTTGTGATTTTTATACTGAGCAGCAGTATCAATTGGTATTTGTGTGGTGCAGTAAGGTTATAAGCTAAGGTTGAACAGGGTGCAAGTAGATTTCATTTCCTTAAATTGAGCCTTTATTATGTGATCTTTAATCATTTGCACATGTGTTGGTCTGTGTTTGTTACATGTGTTGGTCTGGGCTTCTTTGCCAATGAGGAAAGTTGAAAACAAAGTAGCCAATCAGCATTAAACAAATGCTGCAATGCAATAGTGCAGTGGTAAGGCGTCTGCCTATCACGCTGAAGGCCTGGGTTTGATCCCTGGTGGAGGCACATAGGTTCGGGTCCCGAGGTGGGCACATTTGTGTAGTATCCTTGTACAAGATACTTAGATCCACTTTGTCTCAGTTCACCCAGCTGTAAAATGGGTACCCGTGAGTGTTTTGTTCATTGTGCCTAACAGGCAGCATGGCTGTATGCTCCCTAGGGAGTTGAAAAATTATGGGAAAGTATGATAGTGTCCTATGACTGGGGATAGTAATGTACGTAGCGCCTTGAACTCTCAATCTGCCTGGATATGAGCACCACGTTCCCTCAGGTCTGAGAATCAACAGAGACTCATAGTGCCATCATGGAAGAAAATGTCCTTTGGTTACAAGTCCTTTAGTGTTGCAGCTGCCACTAAATGGAACTCACTGCCAGATTTTCTCAAAGATGCCCAGTCGTTGGAACAATTTAAGTGTCTCCTAAAGACTCATCTGTTCCATTTGTACTTTTAAAGTGACCTTGTACTGCTACTAGTTTTTACTTCTTTTCCTTGACTCTTGTATGCGTTATGAGCACGCCCCAGTGGAGTTTGGCGCCATATAAATGGACATTATATATATATATATATATAAGCGGACTGTTGCTACTATTGTTATACTGTTAAAATTTTAACCCTCAGTGAGAATTCCTTAAACATTAGTTGGTTTAATATCTGACTTTCTTTGCTTTCCAGGACTGGGTGACAGCATCAGCCATCAAGATAGTTCTGACTCGTATGAACACTTTTGGAGATGAAGTGTTTGGAGATCCTCAAGTCTTAAAATCCTATTTCTACGCCATCTCTGATTTAGCTGTGGGAGCCAGGTAACTCACTCACTCACTCAGCAATGATGTTATGATCTTAAATTCATTTTTTTAAAGGATGTTTTAAACCAGCATGCCAAGAGTCAGGAAAAAAAGACCGACCAAAAACGGAGAAATTTTTTCAATTAATTCCAAAATGAGAAAGATTTGTACTGAGAACCAACGTTATTTCTTTAAAAATGTCTTTTGATTATATAGATACACTGTGCTGCACTTCAATTTTTATCCCCCGCTGCGCGTTTAGCGCAAAGCGGCGGATATAGTATTAGGCTCCGTCAGTCCGTACGTACGAATTGGAATATCTTAAGAACCGTTCTCTGGATTCCGTTCATGTTTGTTACCTAGGTTACTCACAGTATAAGAAAGGTCCTAGTCAGGTTTGGTGACCTTGACCTTCATTTCAAGGTCACAAGGGGACTTTAACGTTTTACCTGCATGTTAAGCTATCTGAAGAACCGTTCACTGGATTTTCTTCATATTCAATACAAAGCTTTATCTAGTCGATTTTGGTGACCTTCACATAATTTTCAAGGTCATGGGGACACTTTGAAGATTTCAGCATGTCAACCTGCTTGTTAAGCTTTCTCAAAAACCGTTCACTGGATTTTCTTCATATTTAACACCAAGCTTTATCTTGGGAAGGTGCAGGGCCCAGTCGATTTTGTGACCTTCACATAATTTTCAGGGTCACGTTGACACTTTGAAGATTTCAGCATGTTAACCTGAATTGTCAGCAAGATATTTCAAGATTGGTTCACTGGATTTTCTTCATAGACTTTCAAGATTTCCTTGAATGTTTTTCAATAAGCCATTTCTTTAGTACTATTTTTGCATATTTCATACACTATGACATTCATGTCAAGGTCAAAGTCAGTCTTGAAAATATGTGCGTGTCTTCCCAGCTATTGTGTCTCTTAAATTCCTATCTGACTTGAAACATGGCCCATTACTTGAAACATTACTTTTCTAGAGTAAGTTAGCTCTAAAGCCTTGTGGTTCCATGTGTGTAAAATCTGGTGTTCATTATCAGTTTGACAGGAAACTTAAGCATACTTGTAAAAAGTAATGTTTCATATTTCTGGCGTTTACATGAAGTGACATGTGAAGAGTAATTTTGTTTCTGGGTGTCAAGTAAATATGTCTATACAGGAAACAGTGATATTGTGTGTTTCTGTTGTGTAGGTGTAAGAGGGACTGTGGGGTAGCCTGATCGTTAAAGCATTCACTCGTCACGCCAAAGACCCAGGTTTGATTCCCCACATGGGTACAATATGTGAAGCCCATTTCTGGTGTAACCTGCCGTGATGTTGCTGAAATATTGCTAAAAGCGGCGTCAAACCCAACTCACTCACTCTAGTTGTAATTGTAACCACGTCGAAAAATGTAAGAGTGATCAGTGTATTCAGGATTTTTTGTGACACACAAATGTAGAGAATGGGTGCAGAAAAAAACTCCTTGCATCCAGAGGGACACAATGCTATGTACCGACAACACATCTATGACTTTGCTAGGTGTTTGGTTGTTTCTTTCAGAGCAGTTACATGCATCATTTCATCCATCAGTCCACATGATCAATGATTCATTCCAGGCTCTATAGAAACTATCAAAAAATACAGTTCTCTACACCGTTACTTCACAGGACTCTTGTAATTGATACGAATAATTAGGGGTCTCTGGAGCCCCTTTTTTGTGAGCCAAGGTATAACCCTGAGTGTATTTTTGATGTCCAGATGTAAGTTTAACATCTACACCTGTAAGACTGATGGGGAGTATTTCTGTTGTCCAGGTGTAAGTGTAACTATGTCTACACCTGTAAGACTGATGGGGAGTATTTCTGTTGTCCAGGTGTAAGTGTAACGTCTACACCTGTAAGACTGATGGGGAGTATTTCTGTTGTCCAGGTGTAAGTGTAACTATGTCTACACCTGTAAGACTGATAGGGTGTATTTCTGTTGTCCAGGTGTAAGTGTAACGTCTACACCTGTAAGACTGATGGGGAGTATTTCTGTTGTCCAGGTGTAAGTGTAACTATGTCTACACCTGTAAGACTGATGGGGAGTATTTCTGTTGTCCAGGTGTAAGTGTAACGTCTACACCTGTAAGACTGATGGGGAGTATTTCTGTTGTCCAGGTGTAATGTAACGTCTACACCTGTAAGACTGATGAGGTGTATTTCTGTTGTCCAGGTGTAAGTGTAACTATGTCTACACCTGTAAGACTGATGAGGTGTATTTCTGTTGTCCAGGTGTAAGTGTAACGTCTACACCTGTAAGACTGATGGGGAGTATTTCTGTTGTCCAGGTGTAAGTGTAACTATGTCTACACCTGTAAGACTGATGAGGTGTATTTCTGTTGTCCAGGTGTAAGTGTAACTATGTCTACACCTGTAAGACTGATGAGGTGTATTTCTGTTGTCCAGGTGTAAGTGTAACGTCTACACCTGTAAGACTGATGGGGAGTATTTCTGTTGTCCAGGTGTAATGTAACGTCTACACCTGTAAGACTGATGAGGTGTATTTCTGTTGTCCAGGTGTAAGTGTAACTATGTCTACACCTGTAAGACTGATGGGGTGTATTTCTGTTGTCCAGGTGTAAGTGTAACTATGTCTACACCTGTAAGACTGATGGGGTGTATTTCTGTTGTCCAGATGTAAGTGTAACGTCTACACCTGTAAGACTGATGGGGTGTATTTCTGTTGTCCAGGTGTAAGTGTAACTATGTCTACACCTGTAAGACTGATGGGGAGTATTTCTGTTGTCCAGGTGTAAGTGTACCTACGTCAACACCTGTAAGACTGATGGGGTGTATTTCTGTTGTCCAGGTGTAAGTGTAACGGGCACGGCAGCGAGTGCAAGCAGGTGACTAGCCAGGGTCTTGAAGATGAGCTCATCTGTACCTGCGAACACAACACACAGGGACCAGACTGTGGGGAGTGTCTGCCTTTCTACAATGACATACCATGGGCCAGAGCCACTGAATCCGATGCACACGAATGTCTACGTAAGTCTCTGTTACAAGTGGACTTTTACTGTGAGATTTGAGCACCATTATCACAGGCTAAAGTATTTAGTTCCTTTTCAGGAGTTTGTAAAAAGGCTCTGGTACATATTAGTCCCCTCACATAGTGGCCTAAGGGGTAGTCTAGTTTCTGAGTATTACTTGGGCCGAGCTTTGGTCCTAGCCTTGGGCCAAGTCTTTGGCTAGTGGACCCTGCCTGAAAAGTTCAATGTTTTGGTAACCTATGAAATCACAAGCTGTTATTTACCTACTGCCTATAATATAAGACATATAAGAAAGACTTGATTCTTTTGTAATGCTATAGTTAATCTGTCAAGGTATTACAAAGTAACCCTGGTATTATGAAAGAATCAGGAGGTCTGAACATCGTTTGAGTTGTACAAGTTGAAAAGACATCTGTCGTCTGGAAATCAAACCTTCTTTGATCTGTCTGTAGATTAAAGCTATAAAAATATAAAATTCTAAGTACTCATTTGGGGACTTGCAGATATAGTTAATCTAACCCAGTTATTGCATGTATCTTGAAATATGTTAGTAAAGGAATGTTTGTCATAAGTATGTACAACTGGATATAATGATGTATGCGTGTTCCCTCTCTATTCCGCTGCTTTTGTACAGATGATTTAAGGTAAGATGTACTGCTCACCATGCGTCGCCTAGCAACTGTCGTTAACACATGGTTGTGTTGTGTCAATCTTTTCATCGTTCGTCATGGATTTTTGTTTGTGTTTGTTACTTCTTCTATTCTGATATTGATATACCTACATGTTATCATTTATGGTGATGCTTTATTTTTCTCTGACCCGTGAAGATACGGGGTAGAATAGGTCTTCAGCAACCCATGCTTGCCAAAAAAAGGCGACTATGCTTGTTGTAAGAGACGATCGGGTGGTCAGGCTCGCTGACTTGGTTGACTCATGTCATTGGTTCCCAATTGCACAAATCGATGCTCATGCTGTTGATCACTGGATTGTCTGGTCCAGACTCGATTATTTACTCGGCATAAACCATATTCGCTCACTTTTCTCTCAGTAACCAAACAGTGAGTCTGGGATCTTGTAGATCCTCAAAAACCTATGTACCTTATGTGAAGAGCTTATTAAAATAGGTTTGCAGGCTCAACGAGACCCTAGAAAAGTTAGACTTGCTCTAATCAGGGCTTTTGCATTGCAGTAAAGACTGAGTTAAGGGGAAAATGATGTGGTTCAGGGATAGTGAGACAGACTATGGTTAGAGTGTATGCCTGGGGAATGGAAGGTCAGTGGTTTGATAGCCTGGCTGTGTCACATCAAAGGACACCAAAATATGATACTTGTTGTTGCCCTGGCTGGTGCTCGAGGATGAAACAAGGACTGATCTGCTCACTCTGATACTGGGTCTGAATGTTTACAAAGTGCAGCAGGTTATCTCGGTGTGAATCTGGATTGTGACAATAGAACCCATCTCACCCCAGCATAGACTCTGTGACCTGGTTAACTGTGTGTCATCATACACAACAGCTGAGCATGTTTGCCACATCAAGCACTGGATTATTACAGGACGCTGTCATATAGCTTGAAGGCTACACAGAGGCATTGAAAAACTATTTAAAAGTTCAGTGGTTGCAGTATAGGGGAATTTGGTGAGTGGTTGCAGGATAGGGGAAATTAGTGAGTGGTTGCAGTAGAGGGGAATTTAGTCAGTGGTTGCAGGATAGGGGCATTTGGTGAGTGGTTGCAGGATAGGGGAAATTGGTGAGTGGTTGCAGTATAGGGGAATTTGGTGAGTGGTTGCAGGATAGGGGAAATTAGTGAGGTTGCAGTAGAGGGGAATTTAGTGAGTGGTTACAGTAGAGGGGAATTTGGTGAGTGGTTGCAGGAAAGGGGAAATTGGTGAGTGGTTGCAGTATAGGGGAATTTGGTGAGTGGTTGCAGGATAGGGGAAATTAGTGAGTGGTTGCAGTAGAGGGGAATTTAGTGAGTGGTTGCAGGATAGGGGAATTTAGTGACATGGTTGCAGGATAGGGAAAATTAGTGAGTGGTTGCAGGATAGGGGAATTTAGTGAGTGGTTGCAGTAGAGGGGAATTTAGTGAGTGGTTGCAGGATAGGGGAAATTAGTGAGTGATTGCAGGATAGGGAAATTAGTCAGTGGTTGCAGGATAGGGGAATTTAGTGAGGTTGCAGTAGAGGGGAATTTAGTGAGTGGTTGCAGGATAGGGGAAATTAGTGAGTGGTTGCAGGATAGGGGAAATTAGTGAGGTTGCAGTAGAGGGGAATTAAGTGAGTGGTTGCAGGATAGGGGAATTTAGTGAGGTTGCAGTAGAAGGGAATTTAGTCAGTGGTTGCAGTAGAGGGGAAATTAGTGAGTGGTTGCAGGATAGGGGAAATTAGTGAGTGGTTGCAGGATAGGGGAAATTAGTGAGGTTGCAGTAGAGGGGAATTTAGTCAGTGGTTGCAGAATTTAGTGAGGTTGCAGTAGCGGGGAAATTAGTGAGTGGTTGCAGTAGAGGGGAATTTAGTGAATGGTTGCAGTAGAGGGGAATTTAGTCAGTGGTTGCAGAATTTAGTCAGTGGTTGCAGTGTAGGGAATTTAGTGACTGGTTGCAGTGGAGGGGAATTTAGTCAGTGGTTGCAGTAGAGGGGAATTTAGTGAGTGGTTGCAGAATTTAGTGAGTGGTTGCAGAATTCAGTGAGTGGTTGCAGAATTCAGTGAGTGGTTGCAGTAGAGGGGAATTTAGTGAGTGGTTGCAGAATTTAGTGAGCGGTTGCAGTATAGGGGGATTTAGTGAGTGGTTGCAACAAGACAATTTGATGGGGAATCGAACTCAGGTCTTTGACATGACAAGCGAACGCTTTAACCACTAGGCTACCCCACCGCCCCTAAAAATGGAAAGAAATGTGTAATCAGCATTGGTTCATAGCCATAGATAATGATCATGAGTTTGAGTTAGTACCAAATATATGACAATCTGTCCCAGATTAACATCCACCTTTACCATGCTCCTCTTTGTGTTTTGTGAATTATGTAATTTCTTTAAGTTCATTTGTGTGATATTTGTCACTGTGCTTGGTGACATGAAAAGTCCCCTGCAAATAACCTCCTTCAACAAAGCCCTAAGGTGATAGTAAGTCACTAAGATGACCTTAGTGCAATGTTAAAGAATTGGAGTTAAGGTTAACCTTAGTAACGGCTGCTTAGTGAAAGGAGTCCCAGGCCTGGGCCTAGATTTTCGAAGCTCTCTTAGAGCTAAGATAGTCGTAAGTGCCATACATTAACATTAACTTACGACTATCTTAGCGCTAAGAGAGCTTCGAAAATCTAGGCCCTGTATATTAACATACTGGTATAGTGATAGTTTACTATGATGTCGGTGATTCACATTTCTGTTGTTTTCATGACTAGCATCATGTACTTTGGTAACCTCTGTGGTGCTGATGTGCTATGATATCCTCTGTCATGACAATGTGTGTTTTGTTACAGCTTGTGACTGTAACAACCTGTCCAACAGATGCCACTTCGATCAGGAGCTGTACCTGAGAACAGGTCATGGCGGACACTGTGACGACTGCCGTGACAACACCGATGGCCCTCACTGTGAGCGATGTCTGGTCAACCACTACCGCAGGCAACCAGAGAATAGATGTATAGACTGTCAATGTAACCCTATAGGTATGCGCCCAAAGATTCCATCATCACTTTCAGAGGTTTCAAATGCCAATAAAGAGCATTCATGGATGTAATCATCTAAAAATCTTCATAGATTCCATTCAATTCAAATCACAATTATATGCCGCTGTCAGTTTATGCCGTATGTCAACAGATTTCACTCTGACTTTATGACATTTATAGTCTAACCAGTGTATGAAATAAGCCAGAAACCCAGCCAGACATGAGACGTCTGGATGTAACCAGACCAGACACCAAGATATGGTGAATTTACTCAGATGTATGGCACATCTAAAATCTTTATCATAGGGCTGGCTAGCTGAAAACTTAGACTGTCTTTCAGAAATCTAGCCCATCTCGGGTGGTCAGACAGGCCTTATTTCATACACTGGTCTAACAAGTAATTTGTATAATATTATTCTACATCTATGTCCAAATTGAGGTTTCCGAGGTTTCAAATCATAATAACATGCCTCTGTCAGTCTAAACCAAAGTTATGCCCTTCTAAGATACCTCCCACACTTTCAGAGGTTTCAAATCCCATTATGCTTCTGCAGTGTGATTCTGAAAGGTATGTCCCCTCAAAATTCCTCCCAGACTTTCAGAGGTTTCAAATCCCATTATGCTTCTCTCAGTGTGATTCTGAAAGGTATGCCCATACACATTTCATACCTGACTTTCTGAGGTTGCAAATCGCAGTGATATGCTTCACTTTATTAATGTAGCTGTATACCAACACTATTCTTAATATTTATGTAGGATCTGAGAGCCAACAGTGTAACGAAAGCAAGGCCAGTGCAGGTGTAAACCAGGTGTAACTGGTGACAAGTGTGACCGATGTGAGGCCAACTACTTCGACTTCGACCAACTACGGCTGCAGGTTAGTATTATACCGAGTAATGATACTTGTTTCACTTGTCCGTTGTTTATTAAAGGTCATATAGTGACCTGTGAAGATCCAGGTTAGAATTGATCTTCAGTAACCCATGCTTGTCATAAGAGGTGACTAACGGGATTGGGTGGTAAGGCTCATTGACTTGGTTGACACATATCATCGTATCCCAATTGCGCAGATCGATGCTTATGCTGTTCATCACTGGATTGTCTGGTCCAGACTCGATTATTTACAGACCGCTGCCATATAGCTGGAATATTGCTGAGTGCGGCTTAAAACTAAACTCACTCACTTATTTATGAAGTGAATCCTTGTACCTTGATGTTATAGATGGATACTCACAATACCAATCACTGGATTGTCTGGTCCAGACTCGAATATTTACAGTCTGCTGTCATATAGCTGGAAAATTGCTGAGTATGGCATTAAACAAGCAAATTACAAACAACTGGAACAAATGAAAGGTTCCAGATATCTTCATTGTTGTTGTCCTGACTTCTGTATTGTCCATACTCTGGGCCAGAGTTTTGTAATTCTATCTGAAAAGGACAAGGTATGATAAGGGTGGTTTTTGGCCCACAAACACAATTGGCTGAACACATGTTATTTGTTTAGAGACAAGATGGCTTTGCATAAAAAAGCTATTTTTTAAATGATCTGAGGCCATAATTTCAGTGCAGAGGGGCCAAAAATGGGTTTTATCAGTTCCCATGAAAAAAATAACAAGAAATCTGAAATATCAGTGTGCCATAATGACTTATATAGAACTATCAGTTTATTTACATACAAACAGTATCAGTTTTGCAACAGGTATTCATGATGAAGAAACATGTCAACATCAATCACAAGGTTTTAACTTCAAGGGGCCCAATTAGGGTTGCAATACATTGTGGACAGTAATTCAATTACTTGCCAATTGATTACAAAAAAGCTCATTATTCACAACTTTCTTTGCAAACATAAACTATAGGTCAATTTTACAACATGTACTTATGATAACCAATCATGTCCCACGAAAAATCACAGGGGGGCCATTTTAGGTCTAAATACATTTTGGGCACAGCTTGATTTTAACAAGTAAGTGTTAAAAGTCAGTATTCACAACCGGTTTTAGCAAATATACAGTAAACATCTCATTCACAACATGTTATTACAATAACCAATCATGTTGCACTAAAAATCAGACCGCCTCCGTGGTGTAGTGGGTAGAGCGTCCGCCCGGAGATCGGAAGGTCGCGGGTTCGATCCCCGACCGCGTCATACCAAAAGACGTTAAAATATGGTACTTGTTGGTCCCTGCCTGGCGTTCGGCATTAATGGGTACAACAAGGACTGGTCGGCTCGGAGTCAGTATAATGTGTCTGAGTGGGGTATTCATGCTTCACTGCGGCATGGTATCTCAGTGGGCTAGCACTATAAAACCAGCATAAGTCTGGGCTAGTACAAGCAGCCGCACATACACATACACACGCATGCACGTCGTCATATGAGCGAAATATTCTCAAGCACGACGTTAAACCCAATTTCACCTCACCTCACTAAAAATCACAGCTCTTGACCTCAAAGGGGCCTATTTCAGGTGAAATTACATTCTTGGCACAGCCTGATTTTAACACCATGTAAGTGTTAAAAGTCAGTATTTACAACATTCTTGCAAATATATACAGTAAACATCTCATTCTCAACATGTTGTTATAATAACCAATCATGTTGCACTAAAAAGCACAGGTCTTGACCTCAAAGGGGCCTATTTCAGGTGAAATTACATTCTTGGCACAGCTTGATTTAACACCATGTAAGTGTTAAAAGTCAGTATTTACAACATTCTTGCAAATATATACAGTAAACATCTCATTCACAACATGTTATTACAATAACCAACCATGCTTCCCTAAATATCACAGGTCTTGACCTCAAAGGGGGCCATTTTGGGTGAAATTACATTCTTGGCACAGCCTGATTTTAACACCATGTAAGTGTTAAAAGTCAGTATTTACAACATTCTTGCAAATATATACAGTAAACATCTCATTCTCAACATGTTGTTATAATAACCAATCATGTTGCACTAAAAAGCACAGGTCTTGACCTCAAAGGGGCCTATTTCAGGTGAAATTACATTCTTGGCACAGCTTGATTTTGACACCAAGTAAGTGTTAAAAGTCAGTATTCAAAAATCTTCAAAAAGTAATTATTCACAACTCATTCACTGCAAAGATATATAAAACATCCACTTTCACTCTTCATCCACATGGTCATCAATCTCTGAATCAGTTTCTGAATCACTGTCCAGAACTGCAGCATTCAACCGTGTATCACTAGAGTTGCTGGAAACCGGCATATTGTTTTGGTGTCTGCCATACCCAGATCTTCTCTCAACTGCAAAACAGATGACTTTATATCAAAAGAAAATTCTGTTTTAAAACTTTGATATTATAAATCTATTCAAGGGTAACATTACTTATTTATTTTCAAATGTCAGTAGTCTGGCCTTGAAGGCTTATGCAGATTTAATCACCACTGAGACATCAGTATTTCTGAAATTCTGTCACATTAAATTAGAAAATTGAAGAAAAAAATATTGGTTATTTTTTAGCACTCATATTATGCTTACCTTCCACCGCAAGTTTTAAGTTGTCATCTTCATGAAATGACACTCCTGAAATCAGTCCAAGCAAATTTCTCTTATCTGAAAACAAATATTTGAAATCATAAAAAGAATTATCATTATGTTCAAGAAATTGGTGCTTTCTAATTTTTCTAATGCTAAACATGTCAATAGTATAGTTATATAGGAAGGGAATTGACCTTCAAAAGCATAATCAATTGTTGAGGCCACTTTTTGATCAATTATAGATATAAGATAAAACAACTGTTAGAGCACATGAAAACAAAGGTAATCAGTCCTCAGTTTTTATATGACAATTGAAACCAATAGTCATTGATTCTGTAAACATATTTTTAAGAAGAAATAGTGAACGCTTTAATTGATTATGTGATTTGGTTATCGGTAATTGACTGGCAGCCCACAAAATATCCATAAACTAATTATTTGTTTGATCAGTGCACCACTAATTAACAGCTCTGGACAGTTTGTAAATATTTACTTAAAGAAATTACCATACTAACATTTTGAAACAATGCTTACCTTCTACAGGTTCTTTATTGTGTGGGAACAAAGTGGAAAAGTCAGTGTCTTCAGGCTTAAACAAGATTTACATGATGTTAATTCAAGTTTGTTTGAACAGTGTAACTTACATTACCAAACTTAAGAATTTTTTTTTACAAAATTTGTATTTCATGTGCACAAGTTTTGTCAGCCAATTAACAATGTTTAACGTAACTTTTGAAGAAAAAAAAAGAAAAAAAACATTAGGATTTGAACCTGAATGTCTGATAACAGAAAAAATTGAGAGGCCATCACTGTAACCACTAGGCTACAGATTCTACTGTTACTATTTGTCACTTTAAGCTTATATAATTACACTTTGCAACAATGTGTCACTTGACGTCTGCTTGCCTTTCATTATCTGCTAGACCTTGATACAATGTTCTTATTCTAACAATATTAAATGTAGCCTGATATATCCTAGAAAACATCAAGGTACATTATTTTTGTTAAAATGTGTATGTTTATACACAGTTACATCCAGTGGAATGCCAGTGTTATTTGACAGTGACAGGTGACACAGAGGGGTTTGCTAAACAGATGATAGAACAAATATGATAAAATTCTAGCATAATTACAAAGATTCTCACCTTTAGAATGCTGCCTGATCATACTTTGAAAAATCTTCTGATGTCTTCTTATTTTTCCAGCAGTGATCAACAGGGTCTCCAAAAAACTACCCTTGTTTACCTCAAAGTAATCAGCCTTGAGAGTCCCTTACGATATTGAATTTTTTTAATAAACATGTTTGAAAAGTTCATTTTAGTGCTCTAAAACATTCAAAATAGTAATGAATCATGGTATAGTTGTGTAAATGTGACGGATAGTTTTCAGAGATATTACTTTACGCCAATGTTTATTTTTGAGATGTTGTATGGGGCAATTTCATACAACAGAAAAAATGTACTTTTTTAAACATTTTGATATGAGCAAAAGCGTGACCCACCACAATTTTTTAGGAGTGCATTCTACTTTACACACTTCATGTGTGGTGAAAAAATTGGGATGGGTCAAGCTTTTGCTCACACTTTTTTATCACTCTGAAAATATGAAAATGCAGGTTTTTCGAAGATATTGTAAAATAGGTTAACTTTGAGGTCTTCAAAGAGGAAAAAAAGAGCACTAAAACATATAAAAAAAACATATGGAGGTAATTTCAACAATTTATTCAGCATTTTTTATGCTAAAATGATCATGTTGTAGAGTTTTGAATATCATGAAATTTTGTGGGCCAATAAGGGCCTTTATCGTACCTTGTCCTTTGAATTACATTATTCTCAGATATTTCAAAGTATAAACAGATCTTTTGAATCAGTAGTCATTCACTGAATTCAGGGCACTTATCTCAGTTAATCCTTAAAGTACCCATTTAAAAGTCTGGCAATCAATGTTGTCAAGCCAGTTACCATTTAGCATTGAGTGTTGAGTTACATTTTATGAGCTCCAGGTGTGACAGTACATCTTAGTAGGTGTAAGAGAATAGTATGTAAGACTGTCATTTAGCAACTTCAAATTCTGCTTACTGTGCACAATGTTGATGACATAGTCAATACTGTTCCTTAATAGAAGGGGCAGTAGGGTAGCCTAGTGGTTAAAGCGTTCGCTCTTCACACAAAAGCCTTGGTTCGATTCCTGACATGGGCACAATGTGTGAAGCCCATTTCTAGTGTCTCCCACCATGATATTACTGGAATATTGCTAAAAGCAGTGTAAAACTAAACTCAGTCACTTAACATGTATCATGAATTGAGGAAACAGAGTTGGAGATTTTATGAATGCTTCAAGTATTGCTGATTTAGCACTGGTAGCAAGAACGGTTCAAGTTACTGGAACAGTGAAATCGTTTTGCAGTAAAATGTGATAACTGCAACTAAAATTAAATCTGAGTTGTTACAAGCCTTTCAAAATTATAGATAACATACCAAATATGATCGGTTGGTTTGTTGTTAAATGCTGCACTCAGCAATATTCCAGCAATATGGTGGTGGTCTGTAAATAATCAAGTCTAGACCAGACAATCCATTGATCAACAGCATGAGCATGATATTACACAATTTGGATATGATGACAAGTCAACAAACCTGACCACCAGGTCCCATTAGTCCCCTCTTACGACATGCATGGGTTACCAAATCTTCACGGGTCTACCAAATATGAATGACTGGTACCATGACATTGAATGTTTTCATGCATCTGCCTGATTCCAAAGGCAAACTGCCTATAAAAAACGTTCGCATCGTCTCTGTCATGTGTGGCATCGACAGTCTCTGAGCGTCTTCTGCCTGTCTGTATCAGCTACAGATTCAGTAGGGATTCCCGGGTTAGAATTTGTCCCGAGCAGCTAATCCTGGTCTTAAGTCCGACCATATGGATTTGGTAGGCAGGTTTGGTAACCCTTATTGTTGGTCATTGTAAAATGATAGCATGGTTTGCTGCTCACATTGTCAATCACTGGATTGTCTGGTCCAGACTGGATTATTTATGGACCACCATTATACAGCAGGAATACTGCTGAGTATGGAGTTGGCAAAGAAACAGTAACATGTAAAAATATATAGGTAACAAATGAGGTAACGCTTATCAAATTGCAAGGCAGCACAAGTGTTGTTTTATGCCACTTTTGGAATATTTACAGCAATTTAAGGGCAGGAGATGTGACATATGGGCTTGAAGTGTAAAACTCAAGTGGGGAATTAAACTCGAGCCTTAAGCTTGATGACCAATCACTTTATCTACTAGGCTACTACACTGCTAAGGTTTGAGTAATCATCCTGCTTGAGATGGATATGCTATTTCTTCTGACTCACTTCCTAAAGGTCAGACAAAACCACAGCTGCATTTTCACATTTTCCTTGTAACAAAGAATGTATTCAAGTATCCAGTTTCAGATAAATATCAAATATACACAATCTTTTGATAAGATGTTGAGTACATACCTGTTTTTTGCAAGGGCAAGTAATAATGTTTAACTGCTACCTATCAAAAGAACTGTTGTTTTGGATCATAGACATTTTTATCATGTGACAATGTTAACACTTTAACAATGACTCTTTGTATCTTCTAGACATTAACCATCATTCCCAAAAAAATTATGGTGTTTAATTGTATTACGTCGCCATGATATTGCTGGAATATAAAACTAACCTCACACTCACTCACTCACTCACTGTCACTGCTTAAGCCACCATGACATTGTGAGGGGTGGTAGGGTAGTGGTTAAAGTGTTCTCTCATTATGTTCAAGGTCCAGGTTTGATTTCCACATAGTTCAGTGGGAGAATTATCCACAATATGTCCCCCACAATGATATTGCTGTAATATATTTTTAAGTGGCTAAATTGATGCCACATAACATGGTTACATTTGTTTCTATAAATCCGGTTTTATCTGTCATACTGAAATATTAGTTGCAAGCAAAAATGGTATGCCATAAATGTATTAATTTTAAGTATGCAACATTTCTGCTTTATTTTCTTTCAAATGTCAGTGGGAAATGTAACTGCTGTTGTTATGATCAGGAATGTTTTCTCAAACACAAGGTGACCTTTACTTCATTTGAAAGATAAAATACTTCGTTACGAAAGCTCTTCTTAAGCAAGGTTACACAGCAAAGGTTAATGGTTTCCATGTTGTTGTACAATGTGTAGCAGCCATTGTAATGATCACAAGAATATGCGAGGACATGTTCTCTGCGACCTTTGCTGTCCGCCTTCGTTCCAGGGGGGAAGTATTAGCGGAGACAATGGGGCTCCTGTACGAGGTTCAGGGTTAATTCCCCTTCTTGTGGGCGGATTGATGTGCATGGAATTCCTCTAGTCATCTTAATCACTCTATCCTCAGGATGAGGTCATTTGCACAAACATAGTTGACCAACTTGACATCAGGGAGTGAGTGAGTTTATTTTAATGCCACTTTTAGTAATATTCACAGCAGTGGACACAAGAAATGGGCTTCACACAGTGTACCCATGTGGGGAATCAAACCCGGGGCTTCGGTGTGATGAACAAGCGCTTTAACCATTTGGCTATCCCACTGCCCAATGACATCCAATGAATGTATAGGTCGATTCAGAGTTTGTTTTTATGCTGTGGTGATAAGGACATATCCTGAATTGCTGATTGCAGCAAAAGAATGTTTGCTACACAGAACCATGTGTGTTTTCCACATAGACTTCAAAACCTACGGGCCGGTGGGGTAGCCTAGTGGTTAAAGCATTGGCTCATCACGCCTAGGCCCGGGTTTGAATCACCGCATAGGTAGAATGTGTGAAGCCCATTTCTGGTGTCCCCCACCGTGATATTGCTAAATATTGCTAAAAGCGGCATAAGACCAAACTTTTAGCTGATGATGTCATATACCCAGACCTCTTTTCCACACGTTGCAGTTTGTAAGGATTAATATGTGAATTCAGTCATGTTCAACTAGTTATGTAGAATGTGTGGAAATGTATAAGGTTTTGCATTTTGAAAAGGGTTACCTTGGCAATGTGCAAGCCTTTTTGAAGGAGGTGAGAAAGGGGTTGGGTTGCTGGTCTTGCTGGTTGTTGCATGTCATCGTATCCCAATTAGATCAACGCTCATGGTTTCAATCACAGGTTTGGGGTGGTAGCCTAGTGGTTAAAGCGTTCGCTTGTCATGCCGAAGACCTGGGTTTGATTCCCCATTTCTGGTGTCCTCTGCCGTGATATTGCTGGAATGTTGTTAAAATCAGCATAAAACCAAAACTCACTCACTCACTCACAGGATTGTCTGGTCAGACTTGATTGTTGACAGATCTCCGTTTTAGCTGGAATATTATTGAGTGTGACCCATAAGTAATAAACAAACATGTAAGGGTGGTCATTTGTATGTGTGATACCCCAAATTGTGAAATATATAAGTCATGGATTGATTTAAGAGATATCTACTTTTTGTGTTGTAGACCATGTTCTTGTAACCCATCCGGGAGCTACAACAACGAGCCTCGTTGTGACACACGCACTGGAGAATGTACCTGTAAGGAGAACGTAGAGGGACGCACATGTGACAGGTGATGATGATGATGATGATGACGATGACGATGATGATGATGATGATGATGATGATGATGACGATGATGATGTTGTTAACAATAATGATGATGACTACTGTGGTGGTGGTGGTCATAGTCGCCGTTATGATGAGGGTGGATGATGATGATGATAATGATGATTATGACGATAATAATGATGACGATTGGTGTTGATGATGATAGTTATGGTTTTACATTTGACACTTTAAATCATTTGTGATCACAATGTAAAATTGAGGAATTATGTAACAGATAATGAATAAATCCATGCACGTATGTTGAGAATCAGTTAATGGAGAAGACGTATCCTGTGACAGCATCATCCAAATATCTATATATTCTATAATCATTTCTAATTTTCTTTTGACATTTCAGCTGCAAACCAGGGTTCTTTGGTTTAAGTGACTCCCAGCCTTTTGGCTGTGTTCCCTGTTTCTGTTACGGCCATTCCTCCATCTGCCAGTCAGCGCAAGGATACTACGCTAGAAATGTTTCCACTGACTTTGAAACTGGTGAGTGTGTCTGACAGTGTGTCTGTGTGAGTTATTTCAGTAATCTGTATTCTTGGGGCATCTATGGCGACATCTAATGCACACTTTACAGAGTTATTTCCCTTAGGGACGACTGAAACCTATGATCATGGGTTGAATCCCAGAGTTGCCTCATTGTGTGTCTAGGTATGTCTGCACTATACCTGTGAACATGGGCAGTGTTTCCGCTGGCATTTTTTACAGCTGGACATTGTGACCGGCTAGCATTTCAAATACCGGTCATTTGTAAATTTTACCAGTCAAGTGATCACGCTTTTCATTGTGCGCAGGACCTTGCACCCTAACTACCAATCAGAAATGTAGAAGGTATCGCAATGCGTCAATGCCACTATATTTACCCTGGGGTTTTCCAAAACTGCAATTTTTTATTTGACAACACCTCGATGTCATTGTGAAAATGTAATCTTTTTCGAGGAGAAACAAACCTGACAGAGGTAATTAGAAAATTGATTTTAAAATTTGCCGGACACAATGACCAACAGCCTTTGAAATTAGTGGACATTCTAACTTTGTACCGGTCAAAGTCTAGTATATACCGGATAACGGAATCTGAAACCTGTATCGTTCAGACTTTCCTCCCACGTTAAGCTGACATCATCTGTTACTGGAGTGTTAGTCGAGGGCTGATATGACTGGCAAAAGGAAAACTGTCATAACCTTTTTATCATATACCACATCTGTAAATATTGACAGTCAAAAATGATGAGAAAAAATAGTAAACTGTTTATTCAGAACAATAACAATGGAATACTCCAACACAAATTATAATGTCAATGTAGCGTCCATGATCATTTATCAGTCACTGTCAGAGTCAATTAGGCACCGAATTCTACAATGATTTGTGTCGGACTGTTAATGATGTCACAGTCCATGTTTATAGTCAGTCCTCCCTCAATATGCGCTCTGGTTAGGAAGTACGAGCCTGTTGATGTAGAACGTGTAGAGTTAGTAGTATTCACGTTAGGTTCAACTCACTCACTGTGAATCTGGAATAAAGCTTCAGTTAATCTGGCATCAGTGTACTTCTGCATCCACTTAGTAGAGGGCGCAGCCCCAATAATCGAAGGCTCCACAATTTACTGGGCAGACCTGAATGATCTTGCCATCATTTATCTGGATTAACCCTGATTTTAAACCTTGGTTTGTCAGTCTGTACCAAATGTGTTTAAACTACATAACAAGAACCTGTATCATTTTGTAAGTTTCTACCAACTTAAGCTGACTGTATGTGACAGCAGTCAAATGCTGCTCACAACATACTAGTAACTCTAAACTTGCTCACTTGGATCTGGAGGATACATTTCCCTTTCAATCTGGAATTGTTTGTGAATCTGGAGTACATTGAATTCCAGTGCACACTTCTTGTAATTGCAAGAACTGGTGACAGTGGTTGAATGTTGAATATGATTTTCTTTTTATTATATTTTCTGCAGGCAAACAGCGATGGATAGCTGTCGACCGCCGCAACCAGGAAGTGGCCACTAAGTACAATGCTTTCACACAGAACCTTGGAGTGTCGGCTCCAGGAACTGACTCCATGTATTTCTCAGCTCCAGGTAGGAGCCACACTTTACCTTGGGTCAGTGGGGGAGCCTAGTGGTTAAAGTGTAAGCTCATTATGGTAAAGGCTCAGGTTTTACTCCCTGCGCGGTGGTAAACCCATTTCAGGTGTTCAGAGACGATGTTTCATTGGATGTCCTCGATCATTGTCTTAGCGACTGGGTTTAGTCTTAGCGAGACTTGATTCGGATGAGATCCTGTGGTAGCATGGTCATGACCTTAGCAAGTTGGATGTTAATAAATCTGCTTCAAACATTTTGTCAGTTCAGATGAGCTGTAGATGTTCCTTTTTTATAGTTTGTGCCTTTTATGCACACAAGAATAAAAGAGATAAACAAGTTGTTTTTTACCTGTTCCAGCTCAGTATTTGGGAGATCAGCGTTTCAGCTACAACAGGTTCTTGACATTCACGCTGAGAGTAGGGGATGAAAGTGGAGCGAGGGCTTCCATCATCGACGTTGTGCTAGAGGGCTCCGGTCAGAAGGTCTCAGGGCCAATCTTTGCAGCAGGAAATCGGATGCCTGGTCTTGTAGCCAAGACTTACCGATTCCGTCTCCATGAGCATCCAGACTACCAGTGGTCTCCTAGACTGAAGTCCGAAGACTTCATTGCCATCCTGTCTAACCTTACAGCCATCAAGATCAGGGGCACATACACTACAGAGGGTAGGTGTAGTCATCAGTAAGACTATCAAGATCAGGGGCACATACACTACAGAGGGTAGGTGTATTCATCAATAAGACTATCAAGATCAGGGGCACATACACTACAGAGGGTAGGTGTATTCATCAATAAGACTATCAAGATCAGGGGCACATACACTACAGAGGGTAGGTGTATTCATCAATAAGACTATCAAGATCAGGGGCACATACACTACGGAGGGTAGGTGTAGTCATCAATAAGACTATCAAGATCAGGGCACATACACTACAGAGGGTAGGTGTAGTCATCAATAAGACTATCAAGATCAGGGGCACATACACTACAGAGGGTAGGTGTAGATAAGACTATCAAGGGGCACATACACTACAGAGGGTAGGTGTAGTCATCAATAAGACTATCAAGGGATACAGAGGGTAGGTGGTCATCATAAGACTATCAAGAGGGTGAGGTGTAGTCATCAATAAGACTATCAAGATCAGGGGCACATACACTACAGAGGGTAGGTGTAGTCATCAATAAGACTATCAAGATCAGGGCACATACACTACAGAGGGTAGGTGTAGTCATCAATAAGACTATCAAGATCAGGGGCACATACACTACAGAGGGTAGGTGTAAGACTATCAAGATAAGACTATCAAGATCAGGTGGCACATAGACTATCAAGATCAGAGGGTACACTACAGAGTGTAGTCATCAATAAGACTATCAAGATCAGGGGCACATACACTACAGAGGTAGGTGTAGGTGTAAGACTATCAAGATAATACACTACAGAGGGTATCATCAATAAGACTATCAAGGGCACATACACTACAGAGGGTAGGTGTAGTCATCAATAAGACTATCAAGATCAGGGGCACATACACTACAGAGGGTAGGTGTAGTCATCAATAAGACTATCAAGATCAGGGGACATACACTACAGAGGGTAGGTGTAGTCATCAATAAGACTATCAAGATCAGGGGCACATACACTACAGAGGGTAGGTGTAGTCATCAATAAGACTATCAAGATCAGGGGCACATACACTACAGAGGGTAGGTGTAGTCATCAATAAGACTATCAAGATCAGGGCACATACACTACAGAGGGTAGGTGTAGTCATCAATAAGACTATCAAGATCAGGGGCACATACACCAAAGAGGGTAGGTGTTGTCATCAATAAGACTATCAAGATCAGGGGCACATATTCCACTAACAGTAGGTGCATGGTCACCAATAATACAATCTACAGTCTCCAACGTCAATGGCAGATACACTCTCAAGTGTAGGTTACCTGTGAAAGTTCGGGTTAGAATATTGATTTTCAGTAACCCATGCTTGTCGTAAGAGGCCACTAACAGGATCGGGTTGTCAGGCTCGCTGACTTGGTTAACACATGTCATCGGTTCCCAGTTGAGCAGATCGATGTTCATGCTGTTGATCAGTGGATTGTCTGGTCCAGACTCGATTATTTACAGACCGCCGCCATATAGCTGGAATATTGCTGTAGCGTAAAACTGAACTCACTCACTCACTCAAGGGTAGGTGCAGGGTAACCAATAATACAATCTACAGCGTCCAACATCAATGGCAGATACACTCTCAAGGGTAGGTGCAGGGACATCTCTAAGACAAGATACTGCCATCAAGGTGTTCTCTCTAGGGTAGGTGTAAAGTCACTAACAAAACTATCTGAAGCCATTACCATCAGGGTAGTTTGACTGGTGTAGGTATCACTTCCTGATGCACTCTCATAATATAGACAACTAGTCCATGTTGCCCAGGCTAGACTGTTGCCTTTATAAAGGTGTGTGTTTGAATTCCCTTTAATGTCAATTTTATTTTTGTAATACTAAGAAGTATTGTCATGATCGTACGGTTACACAGGTGTTGGATTTATCGACGACATCAAGTTGGAGACCGCTCGCCGTGGGTTCAATGCTGGAGATGAGGCATCATGGGTAGAGCAGTGCACGTGCCCCGAGGGCTATGTGGGCCAGTTCTGTGAGTCGTGTGCTCCTGGTTACAAGCGAGATCCCATGAATGGAGGACCCTTCGCTATGTGTGTGCCCTGTGAATGTAACGGTCACTCCACCAACTGCGACGTCAACTCAGGTAGGCTGGACACCTGGACGATAATTTTATATGAGAGCTGTTCGAGTATTATCACTGATATTGATATTTCTACAAAAAAAATTCCCCCTCACTTGCATCCTTCTGTTGCGTCCATTGAACCCACAACAGCAATAAGTAATAAAGCCATTGTCGTATTCATTGATGAAAACCTTTCGCTATCATTTTTTCTTCTCCAGGGAGGTGTATCTGTCAACACAACACGGAGGGGGACTACTGCGACCGATGTGTGACTGGTTACTATGGCAATGCACGTGAAGGAACCTCAGACGACTGTCAGCCATGTCCTTGTCCTGGAGGCGGGGCCTGTGTGGAGCTGCCCAGTGATGTTGTCTGTACGGAGTGCCCAGAAGGATATGGAGGTAACTGTCCCTCCACAATCAACAGCAACCCACTTTTTTTTCGACTGTTAAACCGTTTTGAATTGTGAGGATTCTGGAAACTCATGTTGAGTGGTTACGTGGTTACTTGGTTGATTAAATGTCATTGTAACCCAGTTGTGTGATTTATGTTCATGATATCATTCTCTGTATTGTAAAGTTTGTCAGCAGGGCTCGATTTAAGAGATGTTATCCTACTTGCACCAGGTGCAACCTAAGATAAAACCGAGTTGCACCAGCCAAATTCCAATTGCACTGCTTTTATTTCAATATTTAATGAAAGAAATATGCTATTGAATTATTCAAAGTTTAGAAGAAACATGAGCTGACATAGTAATGCTTATAATGTTAGATTTATTGTTGATCAATTTCTTAAAATGGACTTGCACCTGGTGCAAGTTAGACAAATAACTAGGTTGCACTTTGTAATATTGGGTTGCAACAGTGCATGTAACAAAGCACTAAATCGAGCCCTGGTCAGTTTTAAAATAATTATGGATATACGATTGTTTTGTTGCAATAAGAGTCATGATTGAGGCGTAGTTTCTCGAAAAGATCCTCAGCTTCAGTGGAGATGTGGTGGCCCAGTGGTTAAGTGAGCTGATCACTCAGAAACCCTGGGTTTGATTCCATGAATAAGCAGCACATTTCAAGCCTGTTCCTGATGTCTCTTGTCTTATTATTGCTGGAGTGTTGTTAAAGCAGTACAAAACTCAATCATTCACCCACTCCTACTTTCAGGAAACCGATGTGATCTCTGTTTGGATGGTTACTTCGGTGACCCGTCCGGGAAATATGGAGACAGAAAAACCTGCCAGAAATGCTTCTGTAATGACAACATTGATCCCAATGCTGTTGGTAACTGTAACGCGTAAGTATTAGTACAAGGTGTTCATTTTAAACCTCCCAAACTGTAATGCAAAAGGGTTGGTACAACACACTTGCTTGATAACGGTGTTAGTACCTACGCCGAAAATTCGCACTCATTGCAATAAAGAAGTTGACTATCCATAGAACTTGGTTTTCCTTCATCTTTACAACTTCAAAAATGCCTCTCAAAGAACAAACTTGTAAGTGCTCAAATGCTTGATGGGCATTTATAAGTTAGAGGGTAACATCTGTAAATCTCAATCAAAACACATCACTTTACCTCTGTACATCTCAGTCTGTAATACTATCTCACTGGATTCCTGTACACACTATATATTTTGCCTGTACCATATTCTGTCAGTCACCTGATGAAGGGGCAAGAATTAGCCCAGAAACGTGGTGTTGTAAATATTAAAGGAGTTGTAAATCCATACCATACGTTGTTTTGTAAGCGATCATTCAACTGTTCCCTTAAACCTCAGTAGATGTGAATGCTTGTTGGAACTTCTGAAATGAGCACAACATCAGTGTTACCTTGAAGCTGTGTGTCATCTGTTTTCATACCAGTTACTGAGCCCATTGTTACTTATACACTGACATGATGTTTTGGCTTGTGTTTTCTCATCAGGAAAGTAGAGCAGTGGGGTAGCCTAGTAGTTAAAGCGTTCGCTCGTCACGCTGAAGGCCCGGGTTCGATTCCCCATATGGGTACAATATGTGAAGCCCATTTCTGGTGTCCCCCTGCCGTGATATTGCTGGAATATTGCTATAAGCGACATAAACCGATACTCACTCACTCATCAGGAAAGTATCCAAGGTGTATATTTTATGTCTCTTCCGTGACTTATATTGCAGCACAACAGGAGAATGTCTGAAGTGCATCCACAACACAGCTGGCTATTACTGTGAGAGGTGCCTGCCCACTTTCTATGGTGATGCCATTGCTGAACCAAAAGGACAGTGCCAGCGTGAGTTCTCAGATCAATTATTAGATGATTGTAGTGAAATATTACTGAAGACGATACTTATTTAATCAGACATAGGAAATAAGTAAAGTGGTATAATGTTTGTTTAAATGACAATATTTGCCCTAAATCAAACTTTCTTGTAGTACACAAGTGTTTGTTATATGCTGGTGATGGCGAGCAACTGTTTCGTTTCTCCAGCTTGCAGCTGCTACTCAAACGGCACCAATCAGGTCGGCCTGCTGACGTGTGACGACAGTGGCCAGTGTCCATGCCTCCCCAATGTCCGCGGACAGCGCTGTGACATGTGTGATGATGGTTATTGGAATCTTGACAGTGGCACAGGTGAGGAACAAAGGCGTTATTGGAGGAAAGTTTTCGGACACTATTCTGCATAAAATATCTGAAGAATAAAATCGCAAATTTGAGTTGAAAATTTCAAATTTTCTTTTTTTCTTGATGTTTTAGCTTTGGGAAGGTGACTTGTATCACTTATGGTTGATAATATACAGACGGTACGGTAGCATATTGTACCAAAATCATCCACTAGTTAAGCCAGAAAGCTTGTTTAGCGCTTAAAAATCGTTTTATCAGATTGGTAAGTACTTTGGGTTATCCAGGGTTCCACACAACCACAGAATTATGCTGAAATAAGGAATACGGACGGATCAAACTTTTACTTCGAGACAACTCTCTGTTTGTCTGACCAAAGTTCAACACGAATGTTTTTGACTGTACTTAAAACCTCAGTATTAATTTTCAAGAGACATCATTGGTAATAAATCTCTGTTGTTTTCCTATTGCTGTTAATAATGATAATAAGAGCGACGTATCTCACCGGGTACCCATTTTCTACTGGGTCAACAGGCAATGTTGAACAAACTCACTTGTCTAAGGTAAGACCTCATGTATCCTGGTTTCCTGTCCCCCTCCACTCACGCTGTGTGTTTCCAGGTTGTGAGGCGTGTGACTGTGACCAGATTGGATCACTAAACTTCACCTGTCAACTCAAGGCAGGACAGTGTGAATGTAAGCCTGGTGTCACTGGGCGCCGTTGTGACACCTGTCAGCGATTCTTCTACGGCTTCTCAAGGGCGGGATGTCAAGGTAAGGGCAGATAACTCTGGGTCACAACATACACAAATAAATCAACCTAAAAATATTCTTTTGTTTGTAATGTTTTGCTCTATGAACATTACTGCAGTCGGAGGCTATTGGATAAGTAAAAGAAGGTGCAGAACACGGCCACACGTATTATCAGTCGGATTCCCAAACATGGCCACATCACACCTGTTCTTAAACCGTTACACTGGCTCCCCATCAAGGCAAGAAGCGGCTACAAAATCCTCTGCTTGACCTACATGGACCGTCACGGACTTGCTCCCCCATATCTCTCTGACCTGCTTACTCCTTACTCAAACAAACGCTGCCTTTCGATCGAAAGTTTCTGATAGTATTGCCACATTTAAGTCAGGACTCAAAACATACCTGTTTTCAATGTATTATTAGGAACTCTATTTGGACGTGTACATATTGCTGTATAAATGTGGGAGACTCTTTTAATCTGTCATTGTTGCGCCTTGAGCATATCTGCTGACTTGGAAAAGGAGCATGAAGAAATCTGCAATATATATACTGCATCCCTAGTCGAGTTGATAGAGCCTCTCAGGCTTGGTATCTAAGTGAGTTAAAACTAGGGCTGTAACGATGCATCAAACTATCAATGGATTGCAATAGTTGAGTCTCTGATAGCAATTAATCAATGGTAGAAACGAAAAACTATCGATGCATCAATAGAGTGTGTGACTATCGATAATTTAGTAATTGACTTCCGTTGATAAATGCGTAGCACAAAATACTGGAAGTACCAGGTTCATTCACTTTGAGTGCAGACTTGCAGCTTCATTGAGTTTGTTTTAACTGTTTACATGATCTGGGTTCAAGTTTCTTGTCAGTTATTAAAAGAGGCTGAAACTACTTCAACTACTTTTTATTTCATATGAACTATACATTCATTTGGAAAGTGTCTTCAAATGAGACAATTCAAGGAGATAAAACTATTGCAATAGTATAGATCCGTATATACATATGTGTGTGCGAGCAGACACCCACACTCTATATAGAGAATCTCGCCCAAGTGTCTCCTGATATCAATTTTATCAACACAAATTATTTTACTTTTATCAATGAGTGTTGATATATTTGATATCTGGAGACATGAGGGTGAGATTCTATTTATCATCAAAAATCACTCTTCATTAGTTTTCAATGAAATATGTACATCTCTGAACACGGTACTACCATGAGAATTGCAGTGCAGCAATGTCATAGCATTGTGACATCACGTTTTTGGCGTCATAGCATTGTGAGTCATGTAATTGATGATGTCAGGGCATTGTACAAAATCTAGGAGATATCGTTTGATCTCACACAAGCATTATCTCCAGTAGAATACAATTTTGGATGATAAATCGCCATTTCACCTCGCCCCTATGTGAAGAAAAGATGTCTAAGGACATTTGTGGTGTTGTGACTGCTTGGTCTGGGTATTGATGTGTTCCTGCTATGTGTTGCAGCATGTAACTGTGACCCAGTTGGTTCCTTGGACTTACAGTGCGACGAGTATGGCAACTGCCCATGTCGTACCAACGTAGGTGGACGTCGATGTGACCGCTGTATGGAGAACAAGTTCAACATCTCTGCTGGATGTATAGGTACGTCATGCTGTTTCGTGTGAAACTGAATTTTAAAATCAAGGAGTTGTCAAATACCTTAAACCGAAGAATATTTGTAGGCATCTTGGTCTAGAGAAAGAATATTTTCTCTGTCTGTTTATAATACAATGTGACCTAGAAACTTTTTAAGAAAAGAAAAATGGTATTGATTAATAGTTTTCACCTGCGTAGATGTACAGGTATATCATAGTTTATTCATTTCCAATAATTTCCTCAAGATTTTCAGGCAACTGAGTTAGCCTGTTGTTTACATAATTAACTCAACACAATCAGGAGTTTGTTTTGATTCCCCAAAGCTAGTGTTCCTGTCATGATATTGCGGAAATATTGCCAAAAGCTGCCTAAAACCTCAGTCACCCATTCAATAAACCCTTATATTCACCATCTTACTGTTCCTGCAGATTGTCAGGGGCGGTTGGGTAGCCTAGTGGTTAAAGCATTCACTCGTCTTGCGGAAGATCCGGGCTCGATTCCCCACATGGGTTCTATGTGTGAAACTCGTTTTTGGTGTTTCCCCACCATGATATTGCTAGAAAGCTAAAAACCATACTCACTCACTCACTCACTCACTCCTGCAGATTGTCCGGCATGCTACGACCTGGTGCAGGACCAAGTCAACATCCACCGTGCCAAACTGCGAGACCTCACCAACCTCATCAACAACATCGGCAACAACCCAAGCCTTTTTAATGACACAAAATTCATCAGCGTCATGGGAGAAGTCAACAAGACTGTCAATGTTCTCCTTGACGAAGCACGGGGAGCATCAAGTGAGTATCTTTTTTGTAAGCATGGATTACAGAATAACTGTCCATTTGCAGGAGGATTTCAAATGGCTGATATCAAGGGTCATTAGATTCCAATACCATATGTATGTGGGACTGTAACTGTGGTATTCCATCATCAAGATATATTCATTGTCCTTGGACTGCTAAGGGAGCGGTGGTGTAGCCTAGTGGTAAAAGCGTCACACAGAAGACCCAGGTTTGATTCCCCAAATGGGTACATTGTGTGAATCCCATTTCTAGTGTCCCCCGCTGTGATATTACTGGAATATTGCTAAAAGCGGCATAAAACCATTCTCACTCGATAGCTTACAGTTGGATCCTATCATAGGAGGCAATAGAAACATGACGATATAAAGGGAGGTAATCAGCCCCGAGGACTCCCAAGGAAAACTGCTTGTCGAACTATACGTTCTAGTTTTGTGTAGCATAACCTTGGAAGAGAAATAGGTCATGATATGTAAAGGCAGATAACCTGATCAGAATGAGGGCAGAATCATGGAAGGAATGGAAACAGAATTATGCCATTAAACAAACTCACTCACTCACTCAGCCATGATTTGATGCCATGATACAAGCATGGAATCGTAGCTCAGAAGAATTTTGTTACCTTTCCCAGCTCCTGATGGTTCAGTGGGGAGACAACTCCAGGAGCTCCGCAAGTCTCTCGGTGAAGTTATCTACAAGACTGGTCAGATCGGTAGAAGCATCTCATCTGCGAGTCAAGTCTCCATGGAGACTGAGCATGACCTAAGGCAGGCAGAGCAGGCAATTGAACGTGCCGAGATATCACTGAAGGCTGCCGAGGACTACATCGACAGAGAAGGTCGGCTAGCTCTGGACCGGGCACTCCAGGCGCTTGCGCGCTTTGGGAGGCAGTCAGAACAAATGACAGAAATTGCAAACAGAGCGAAGTTAGAGTCTGAGAGGTGAGTTCAGATGGCAGAGTTAATGGCTTTCTTGTAAACAGACCCTCAGAGGAGAGGTTAGACAACTGTTAGGTCATACTATTGCTGTATGCAGGTTCTGAGAGGAGAGTTCAGACAGCTGTAAGGTCATACTATTGTTGAAGACATCAGAGAGGAGAGTTCAGACAGCTGTAGACCCGTGAAGCTTGGGATTAGAATATTGATCTTCAGTAACCCATGCTTGTCGTAAGAAGCGAGTAACAGGATCGGGTGGTCAGATTCGCTGACTTTGTTGGCCCATGTCATCGGTTCCCAGTTGCGCAGATCGATGCTCATGCTGTTGATCACTGGATTGTCTGGACCAGACCCGATTATTTACAGACCGCTGCCATATAGCTGGAATATTGCTAAAACTAAACTACACTCACTCACTCGGACAGCTGTAAGGTCATACGATTGTTGAAGTCAACATCAGAGAGGTGAGTTCAGACAGCTGTAGGTCATCACACGATTGTTGAAGTCAACATCAGAGGAGAGTTCAGACAGCTGTATGGTCATACTATTGTTGAAGTCAACATCAGAGAGGTGAGTTCAGACAGCTGTATGGTCATACTATTGTTGAAGTCAACATCAGAGAGGTGAGTTCAGACAGCTGTAAGGTCATACTATTGTTGAAGTCAACATCAGAGAGGTGAGTTCAGACAGCTGTAAGGTCATACTATTGTTGAAGTCAACATCAGAGAGGTGAGTTCAGACAGCTGTAAGGTCATACTATTGTTGAAGTCAACATCAGAGAGGTGAGTTCAGACAGCTGTATGGTCATACTATTGTTGAAGTCAACATCAGAGAGGTGAGTTCAGACAGCTGTATGGTCATACTATTGTTGAAGTCAACATCAGAGAGGTGAGTTCAGACAGCTGTATGGTCATACTATTGTTGAAGTCAACATCAGAGAGGTGAGTTCAGACAGCTGTATGGTCATACTATTGTTGAAGTCAACATCAGAGAGGTGAGTTCAGACAGCTGTATGGTCATACTATTGTTGAAGTCAACATCAGAGAGGTGAGTTCAGACAGCTGTATGGTCATACTATTGTTGAAGTCAACATCAGAGAGGTGAGTTCAGACAGCTGTATGGTCATACTATTGTTGAAGTCAACATCAGAGAGGTGAGTTCAGACAGCTGTATGGTCATACTATTGTTGAAGTCAACATCAGAGAGGTGAGTTCAGACAGCTGTATGGTCATACTATTGTTGAAGTCAACATCAGAGAGGTGAGTTCAGACAGCTGTATGGTCATACTATTGTTGAAGTCAACATCAGAGAGGTGAGTTCAGACAGCTGTATGGTCATACTATTGTTGAAGTCAACATCAGAGAGGTGAGTTCAGACAGCTGTATGGTCATACTATTGTTGAAGTCAACATCAGAGAGGTGAGTTCAGACAGCTGTATGGTCATACTATTGTTGAAGTCAACATCAGAGAGGTGAGTTCAGACAGCTGTATGGTCATACTATTGTTGAAGTCAACATCAGAGAGGTGAGTTCAGACAGCTGTATGGTCATACTATTGTTGAAGTCAACATCAGAGAGGTGAGTTCAGACAGCTGTAAGGTCATACTATTGTTGAAGTCAACATCAGAGAGGTGAGTTCAGACAGCTGTAAGGTCATACTATTGTTGAAGTCAACATCAGAGAGGTGAGTTCAGACAGCTGTATGGTCATACCATTGTTGAAGTCAACATCAGAGAGGTGAGTTATTAAGGTTATACCATTGAAGACAACATCAGAGAGGTGAGTTCAGACAGCTGTATGGTCATACTATTGTTGAAGTCAACATCAGAGAGGTGAGTTCAGACAGCTGTATGGTCATACTATTGTTGAAGTCAACATCAGAGAGGTGAGTTCAGACAGCTGTATGGTCATACTATTGTTGAAGTCAACATCAGAGAGGTGAGTTCAGACAGCTGTATGGTCATACTATTGTTGAAGTCAACATCAGAGAGGTGAGTTCAGACAGCTGTAAGGTCATACTATTGTTGAAGTCAACATCAGAGAGGTGAGTTCAGACAGCTGTATGGTCATACTATTGTTGAAGTCAACATCAGAGAGGTGAGTTCAGACAGCTGTAAGGTCAAACTATTGTTGAAGTCAACATCAGAGAGGTGAGTTCAGACAGCTGTATGGTCATACTATTGTTGAAGTCAACATCAGAGAGGTGAGTTCAGACAGCTGTATGGTCATCACTATTGTTGCAGTCAACATCAGAGAGGTGAGTTCAGACAGCTGTATGGTCATACTATTGTTGAAGTCAACATCAGAGAGGTGAGTTCAGACAGCTGTATGGTCATACTATTGTTGAAGTCAACATCAGAGAGGTGAGTTCAGACAGCTGTATGGTCATACTATTGTTGAAGTCAACATCAGAGAGGTGAGTTCAGACAGCTGTATGGTCATACTATTGTTGAAGTCAACATCAGAGAGGTGAGTTCAGACAGCTGTAAGGTCATACTATTGTTGAAGTCAACATCAGAGAGGTGAGTTCAGACAGCTGTATGGTCATACTATTGTTGAAGTCAACATCAGAGAGGTGAGTTCAGACAGCTGTATGGTCATACTCAACATTGTTGAAGTCAACATCAGAGAGGTGAGTTCAGACAGCTGTAAGGTCATACTATTGTTGAAGTCAACATCAGAGAGGTGAGTTCAGACAGCTGTATTGGTCAGAGGTAGGTGAGTTCAGACATTGTAAGGTCATACTATTGTTGAAGTCAACATCAGAGAGGTGAGTTCAGACAGCTGTAAGGTCATACTATTGTTGAAGTCAACATCAGAGAGGTGAGTTCAGACAGCTGTATGGTCATACTATTGTTGAAGACATCAGAGAGGTGAGTTCAGACAGCTGTAAGGTCATACAATTGTTGAAGTCAACATCAGAAAAGTGAGTTCAGACAGCTGTAAGGTCATACAATTGTTGAAGTCAACATCCAAGAGGTGAGTTCAGCTGTAAGGTCATACAGTCTGTTCAGACAGCTGTAAGGTCATACTATTGTTGAAGTCAACATCAGAGAGGTGAGTTCAGACAGCTGTATGGTCATACTATTGTTGAACATCAAGAGAGTGAGCTGAGTTCAGACAGACTGTAAGACAGCATCAGAAAAGTGAGTTCAGACAGCTGTAAGGTCATACAATTGTTGAAGTCAACATCCAAGAGGTGAGTTCAGACAGCTGTAAGGTCATACAATTGTTGAAGTCAACATCCAAGAGGTGGGTTCAGACAGCTGTAAGGTCAAACTATTGTAAGCAGAACTCACCACACTGATAGTGCATATTTATTTGACTGGTTTAATCACTTGATTATTTTCAGTCTGCTGGAATATTGGTTATTGCAGCTTATCAAAATTCAAACAAAATCTGCTGAACTGAAATATTTTGAAATAGATTAAAGCTACTGCATGAACACCATGTAGTTGAAGACATTCTCATCTAATTTCTGTTTTCACTTCTAGACAAATGGCTGAAGCTGATCGTATAGTTGCTGTTGCTGACGATGCCCTCAACACGTCTCGTGAAGCCCTGCGGCTTGCCCAAATGGCCTTAAGTATGCCAGGACAGACTGCAAGGGACATACAGAGGCTCAACTCAGAGTGAGTTTTACATCTCATATCTTTAACTATCCTTGTTGGACTCTATAGTTAAAATGTTTTAGATTTAATTACTAGTTTTACATTTATATCTGTGATATTCTAGTTGTTTTACTATCCTTCGTTGACAGGATTTTATATTTTTTTCTATCTTTAATTATTGTTAATATATATGTTGTTTTAGTCACGATATGGCTGAAATATTGCCAAAGTGACTTTAAATTTTAACTCACTCACTCACTCACTTTAACTATCCTGATCTTTGGATCATCTCTCTTGATGATGAATTATACCACTTGGCAGAAATATGTCGAAATTGACAGGTGTTGCATAATAGAAAACTTTGCAGATTTGTCAGCTTTTATTTGTTACTTGTGTTGGTAAAAGATCTAATGATCTGAAGACATCCTATACCTGAATGATCATTCATCAATCTAATTATTGTGTATGAGACCCTGACAGTGAAAGCCCAGATGTTTTGCCTAATTGTGCATCATTGAAAAGGTTCACCCATGGCATTCCAAACAGAACGTGTAGGCTGAACAACTGATACTGAATGCCAGACATCATCTGCCTCTCATGCTAGAAACCAAAGACCCAGGTTTGATTTCGCACATGGGTACAATGTGTGAAGCCCATTTCTGGTGTCCCCTGCCATGATATTGCTGAAATATTGCTAAAAGCGGCATAAAACTCACTCGCTCATGCTAGTAATGCCATACAATCTGGACCATCTATTTGGCATTGTAACTTTTCATTTTCTGATTGGTCTATTCAAATTTTGTCCAAAAACAAGTCAAAATTTAGTCCGAAATGGAAGTTGCATATATTAAGCTACTGCCTCAAACTTGAGAAAGTTACTTTCTGATTGGCCAACTTTGTGTTAGTAATTTCTCTGTTCCTCAAAGCTCATGAAAGGATGTGGCCTCTTATGAGAAATACTGGGATCTTTGGCCTGCTTGTAAGTATGGTATGTATGTCTTTCTTGTGTTTTGTGTCTGAAGTCTGCCTGTACGTGACGCTTGTGTCCTGTGTGTTGCAGATACAACAATGCCGACCGCCTGTATGAGCAAACACGGCAGCTGGCGGAGAAGGCATCGGAACTGGCGGAGAAGGCCCAAGATGAGGCTCTGGGTCTGTTTACAGAATCCCAGCAGCGTGTGCCAAGTGTGGATGTGGAGAAGCTTCTCACTGATGCTGCTAACATTAAGATTCAGGTATGGAGGCAATACTGTCCAAGCATAATAGTTGGTTTACTTTCACCAAACAATTTTCTGAAAGAGGCGATAGGTTATTAGTTGTTCCGATCAAGTGTAGGCCACTCAGACACTGAAAGATGCTGAGAGATTCAAATGTGTCTTGACACATTCATTGTGTGATGGGGGCAGTGGGCTAGCCTAGTGGTTAAAGCGTTCGCTCTTCATGACAAAGATCCGGGTTTGATTCCCCACATGGATATAATGTTTGAAGCCCATTTCTGGGGTCGCCCACTATGATATTGCTAAAAGTGACATAAAACTAATCTTTTCGTTCATTAACTTCTTTGAGAGACATTTCGAAGCTGGTATGATGAACAGGAATGTTTTTTATGGATTGACAACTTCTTACTTGCAATTGACGCGACGTTTCGGTATTGATGCTTAAAGTGGCGTAAAACCAAACTCGTTCGTTTGTTTGTTCATTGTTAATCATGCCTCTATTTATACCACAGGCCAATCTGATCAAGGAGGAAGCGGAGAGACTGCTTGAGCAAAACGCAGACCTGATGGCAGAGGTGACTGATGGAAAGATGAAGGCTGAAGACAAACTCAACATGGGAATCCATCTGCAACAGGTACACAGTAATTTGTTTGAGAGGCATTCTAGAAGTTGGTGGTGTAGAGATGACCAAAATTTTATGGAAGATCAACTTCTCTATTTTCACAATAGCGACATTTTACTATACCGTTTTCAGCGTCTTGTCCGTGAAATCACTCAAGACTTCAAGACTGATCTCATTCCAGTCCTCAGTCGTCATGAGAAGCTGTACCAAGATGTGGCTATTGTGAAAATAAAGAAGTTGATCATCCATAAAGTTTTGTCATCTCTAGACCACCAACTTCTAGAATGCCTCCGTGGTGTAGTGGTTAGAGTGTCTGCCCAGAGAGCGGAAGGTCGCGGGTTCAATCCCCAACCGCGTCATACTAAAACATGTTAAAATATGGTACTCGTTGGTCCCTGCCTGGTGCTCGGCGCTCGGCGCTCTCAGTGGGCTAGCACTATAAAACCAGCTGGGCTAGTACAAGCAGCCGCACATACACATACACACGCATGCACATCGTCATATGAGCGAAAAAGTCTCAAGCACGACGTTAAACCCAATTTCACTTCACCTCTAGTTCTCTGATAACAGGACCAGTAATGGCACAGAGTTTTCTACTGCATTGCTTTACGTTAAGACTGTCTGATGCCAGTGTTCTGTTGAGTGTATGGAGCAATTAGTATGCTAAGATCAAGTGCCCTGCACATTCCACTTACTGATGTTGTCTTCCCTCAGAGAACTGATGAGCTGCTGGCAGAGGTTGACAGTGCTCGTGCCAAGGCTCGTGATGCTGTGGAGATGGGAGAGAAGACACTGAAGGAGGCCAATGAGACATACCAGACTCTGGCAGGTAGGGTTCTCTGTAGATGGTGATGGGGTAGGTAGAGATGCCTGTAGATGGTGATGGGGCAGGTAGAGATGCCTGTAGATGGTGATGGGGCAGGTAGAGATGCCTGTAGATGGTGATGGGGTAGGTAGGGATGCCTGTTGATGGTGATGGGGCAGGTAGGGATGCCTGTATATGGTGATGGGGTAGGTAGAGATCCCTGTATAGGTGATGGGGTAGGTAGGGTTGCCTGTATATGGTGATGGGGTAGGTATGGGGTAGGTAGGGATGCCTGTATATGGTGATGGGGCAGGTAGGGTTCCCTGTATATGGTGATGGGGTAGGTAGGGATGCCTGTATATGGTGATGGGGTAGGTAGGGTTCCTTGTAGATGGTGATGGGGCAGGTAGGGATGCCTGTAGATGGTGATGGGGCAGGTAGGGTTCCCTGTATGTGGTGATGGGGCAGCTAGGGATGCCTATAGATGGTGATGGGGCACCCTGTAGATGAAGCACAGGGCAGATGGTGATGGGGAAGATGTAGATGGTGATGGGGCACAGCTTGTGATAGATATAGATGGTAACTGTAGATGAAGACAGGCAGGAAGATTTACTTGTGATGAATTTAACTATGAATTATGAATTGATTCTTCATTCCTATTCTTGATCCGATTGTTCAAACATTGTCTCATGATTTCTGTGTAGGTTTTGAGGATCTGGTGAAGGGCAACAAAGACAAGGCTGATGAGGCTCTGAAGAAAGTGCCCCAGATCGAAGGCACCATCGACCAAGCTGAGAGGACAACCCAGGAGGCAAGAAATGCTCTCAGTGGTGCCAGTGATGATGCCAACAAGGCTTTTGATCTGGCCAAGCAGGCTCAGGACACAGCCCTGACTGCTAATGAAGTAAGGACCATACATTTGTTTGGCCAAAGCCAGTGACTGTATTGAGATTCCAGGGCAGAATAGGTCTCAAGCACCTCATGCATGCATAATGGGTCAGGAAGAAGTGTACAGTAAACTATGTATTTTTCCTTATCTTGAGGGGCGCAGGGATAGCCTAATGGTTAAAGCGTTCGCTCTTCACGCCGAAGACCCGGGTTCGAATCCCCACATGGGCACAATGTGTGAAGCCCATTTCTGGTGTCCCCTGCCGTGATGTTGCTGGAATATTGCTAAAAGCGGCGTAAAACCAAACTCAGTCAGTCCTTATCCTGACTCATGCTAATTAAATGCTTGTCTCCTTCTTGCGAATGATAGTGGAACACTTGAAATCCCTTGAAGTTGAAGAAGAAGAAGGAGACAAGCATTTAGCATGAGTCAGGATAAATATAAAATATCAATTTTAGTCAGAAAATTACATTTTTGTCCTAGTAGGAATTCAGATTAGAATAAATTCCAGTACCCCATGCCTGTCACCCAGTGGTAATCCAGAGCAGATTCCACCTGGTATCGAAGCAAGGTATTACTATCATGGGTATTAGCAGACTAATGCCTCTAAAAGTATATAATTTTGAACGATTATAGTATACTGAGGAAGGTCAGACAGACTACAGAATTGGGTCATTGAAACCATTTGTGTGATCATGTGTCATCATAATCAAATGGGATTTTGGTGGAGTTTCTGTGTTTCACTGAGCCAGTTGTTATACAGCTTTGACATTGATCTGACATTAGACTTTAAAACTGAATGATGTTTACGAATATAAAAATTTAGGGAACAATTTAAAACATATCCTCCAAACTTTGTTGCTCAGTATAGAATAACAGCTTGGTCTTGTGGTGGCTATCAGTATGCAATGATGGGATTTTGGAGATGACACAGATTTGGACTTCCTTCTAGTTTTCAACAGGAAGCCAGGGATACCCATCCATTAATTCTCTCATCTCATTTCCCAACAGGAAGCTAATAATAAGAATAGTGCACATTTATAATGCGCTCATTTCCCGCTTGTAGCATGCTCAAGACGCAACAATTAAAAAGTACATGGGTAGGGATGATGACAAAGTTATTATGATTCACAGAACTGGCGGAAAGATTTTGAGGCTCGCTTTGAATGACTCAAACGTTGAAGAAAGTTTAAGGTCTTGGGGAAGTAAGTTCCACATGTAGGGGGCATAATGTTCAAAAGATCTCTGACCAAAGCACTTGAGTTTGTATTGTGGCACTGTCAGTAGGTTCTGTTGTTGAGACCTTAGTTCATCTGCCGGGACATAGGCTGATATGAATGAAGGAGATTGCTCGTGCAGAGATATATATACTATTCACACTTTGCTAAGGATCAAATCATGAATTCAACAGAAAACTATGATGTGGGGTCAAATTTGGTTTCAGTATCTAAGCTTATTGTAAGCATGGACCCTAGGTTTCAGTGTGTCATTGCATCTTGTGGAACCCATACCTGCTATTGACAGGTGTTGTGTACTTGTCAATGACTTCGCTCCATGATTTGCAGAATGGTTGATTGGTGCTATGAAAACCATGTTTATGGTTACTCATGTATCAAGTCAATAAGGTTAGATTAAAGTGGCTGTTTCCCTAAAGAGGGTTACCATATTATTATTTATCCAGTTTTAAATGGATACAATTTCAAATTATGAATCTACGTTTAAGTAAAGTTGTGAATTTTTGTGATCCTTAGCAAAGTGTGAGTAGTATATGTCAGACAGAGAATTTTGAACTAAATCCAGCTAGTCACATCCACCCATCAATTCTCTCATCTCATTTCCCATCAGGACGCCAGTCAAATCCGTGGTGAGGCAAGCACAACAAAGACCCAAGCCAGCAATCTAAGGAACGAAGCTGACCGTCTGGCCGAGGAAGTCAATGCTGCTGAATCTCGCTTCAATGATTATGATACTCAAAGTACATCTGATATGGCCCTGGCAAAAACAGTAAGATATCCTTTCCACATCCATGTTGTATAGGTGAGGTGAGGTGAAATTGGGTTTAACGTCGTGCTTGAGAATATTCCGCATATGACGACGTGTGTGTGTGTGTGTGTATGTATGTGCGGCTGCTTGTACTAGCCCAGACTTAAGCTGGTTTTATAGTGCTAGCCCACTGAGATACCATGCCGCAGTGAAGCATGAATACCCCACTCAGACACATTATACAGACTCCGAGCCGACTAGTCCTTGTTGTACCCATTAATGCCGAGAGCCATGCAGGGACCAACAAGTACCATATTTTAATGTCTTTTGGTATGATGCGGTCGGGGATCGAACCCGCGACCTTCCATGTTGAATAGGGGTCACAAAACAACTAAACTTTGTTCAAGACATGATCTGAAAAAGGATTTACTACCTGCATTTGATTGGATCAAATCATCTCATCTAATGTACTTAGGATCGAGCCTGGAGCAAGCTAACAGGTTACTTCTAAAATGAGGGCGGTTGGGTGGCCTATTGGTTAAAGCGTTAGCTGGTCACGCCAAAGACCCGGATTTGATTCCCAACATGGGTACAATTTGAAGCCCTTTTCTGGTGTCCCCCGATGTGATATTGCTAAAACCAGACTCGCTCACTCACACACTCACTCCATGTTGAACAGGAATATTGGGGAAGCCTCATTGATTCATTCACACACAAGGGTCCTCTCATCATCACCATCGTGATGCCCATTCACTGCTGTGTGAACTGAGCAATGTTTCCATCAAGGTCACTTGTCAAAGCAGAAATGAGATGTAACATGTGTGTCAGTGTTGGGCAGAAATCAAAGCCCCAATTGCTTCAGGAGAGAGAGCCTTGGGGTGAAAGCATTATCAAGTCATGGTCAAGTACCAGGTATCCATGTCCAGAATAGCCCATCCTCACTGTCCCACCCTCCTTGATGAAATATTGCTGAAGTATGATATCCTAATCACTTTGTTGGAGATGTCATTTCTGGTGTCCCCCGCCGTGATGTTGCTGGAATATTGCTAAAAGCGGCGTAAAACCAAACTCAGTCAGTCAGTGTTGGAGATGTTGATCATCCTGCAGGGGCTGCCACGGAGAACATCATACAGGGGCGGTGAGGTAGACTTGTAGTTAAAGTGTTCGCTTATAAGATCATACAATCAACAAACTACCTAATTTGGAGGTCTTTTTTTCTTCCTCCTCTCCTTCTCTCATTTCTTCATCCTCTTCTTCTCATCCTCTTCTTTTTTTTATTTCTCCTATTTTTTTCTTCTTTTCTTCCTTCTACTCCTCTCCTATCTATTTTTCCTTCTCTTCATCTCCTGTTTTCTTTCTCTTCCTCTCTTATTTTGTCTTCTCCATCTCTTCTTCCTCTTCAACTTTTCTTTCCTTCTGTCTTATTTCTCATCATCTCTTCCTCTTCTTCATCTCCTTTTTCTTCTGCTTTGCTCCTCCTTCTCTTCAAGTGCTTCTGGGGCGGTCGGGTAGCCTAGTGGTTAAAGCGTTCGCTCGTCACTCCAAAGGCCCAGGTTCGATTCCCTACATGGGTACAATGTGTGAAGCCCATTTCTGGTGTCCCCCGCTGTGATATTGCTGGAATATTGCTAAAAGCGGCGTTAAACCAAAGTCACTCACTCACTCAAGTGCTTTCTGTTGTTTTTGTATTATTATTTAATGTTGGTGCTGGTGCTTGCTTCAGGCCCTGGAGAAAGCTAATGAGGCCAAGGATACTGCGGAGAAAGCTTCATCAAAGGTGGAGGATGCCCTCAAGACTGTCAACGACATCCTGCAGATATTAGGTACTACACATATCACTGATTCTCATAGTCAACAATACCTACAGTTTGTTACCTGTCACCATCAGGCCCCGATTTCTCGAAACAAACTTAAGTCTGAGTTTTTACTCAAATTTGAGAAAACGCAGGAAATGCATTTTCCAGAAAAAACTGAAATCAATATTTAACTCAAACTTAGTAGACAATTTGGGTTTGGTGGATAGATTACTTAACTTGTTTGGGCTTTTTTATTTATAAAGTGCAGTTGAGTTAAAAATTCAGCTGTTTTAAATTGTCAAACTTTGAGAAAAACTTAAGCTTGTTTCAAGAAATCGGGGCCAGGTCCTCAGCAACAATGCTTGTGATAAAAGGGAGGTAATAGCATTGGGTGGTCCGACTCACATATGTCATTCATACATATCCTCTTTGCCCCTCTGGCACAATATATGACAGGGATAGAAATACTTTTTGATCTAAGTGTGCCTTAGGGCACCAGACAAATATGTTAGATGTGCCTTTCAGAAATCAAGTGTGCCCAGCAGTGATGATGACCATTTGAAATTTATTGTTAGTAAACAACAAATGTAACCTGTTTTCTGTTATCACTGATATGTCTTCTGTTTAAGATGGTTTTCTTAAGCTTCATTTGTTCTGCTTTGCCATCACCTTTAATAGCTAAGAATTTTGTGACAGGTTCACCTGTTCAGTATGTCTAAATTACATAATTTCCACTTCAATAACCAAACTATCAGTACTCCCATCACTGTAAGTGGAAAAACAACCAGATTTCTTTACATCATCCAGCAGAATTCCAGTGATTTCCTGGGTAATGAAGTCAATAAATGTTTTTGCTTGTTTGTCATTTGTGTACATGTTTTGTTTTTGGGATTAAATGACTAAAGGTGAGTTATGTCTCTAAACAATTAGGCATGCCATAAGGCCAAGGGAACATTTTTATCCGTGCTATTTCAATATTTTCTGTGCCATGGCACGCTAATATATAGGGCATTTCGAACCTTGTTATGACCCATGAAGATCTGGGTTAAAATTGATCTTCAGTTACAGATGCTTGTCGTAAAGGGCAACTAACGGGATCGGGTGGTCAGGCTCGCTGACTTGGTTGACACATGTCATCATATCCCAATTGCGTCGATCGATGCTCGTGCTGTTGATCACTGGATTATCTGACCCAGAATCGATTATTTACAGACTGCCACCATATAGCTGAAATATTGCTGAGTGCAGTGTAAAACTAAACTCAATCACTCTTGCAAAATATACAGTGATCACTCACTCACTCACTCACTCACTCACTCACTCACTCACTCACTCACTCACTCACTCACTCACTCACTCACTCACTCACTCACTCACTCACTCACTCACTCACTCACTCACTCACTCACCTGCAGCCTGAGAGAGATGTTGGTATCCTGGGTGATGGACTATTACATCCAAGGGTGGTCACTCAAGGAAATTGTGGCGGTGGGGTAGCCTAGTGGTTAAAGCGTCCAATCGTCACGCTGAAGACCCAGGTTCTATTCCCCACATAGGCACAATGTGAGAAGCTCATTTCTGGTGTTGTGCGATATTGCTGGAATATTGCTAAAAGCCCGTAAAATCATACTCAATCACCCATTCAAGGAAATTATTTCTGTTTCAGATTCTTTTGAAATGGTTGACCCAAACAGCCTTGATGCCCTGGAGGCCGACCTGGCAGAGGTCGAGCGGCAGCTGAAGGAAGCTGATATAGATGCTCAGTACAAATATATTTCCAGTGCCAATGACAATGTGAAAAACCTTGTGCGCAAGTACACGGAGGACTATTCCCAGTTGAAGGAAGATGTTGACAATATAGAGGACATCAAGGACTCTCTGATTGATGGCTGCTTTAAGAGTATAGAGATTGAGTCTCCAGCTGGAGGCAGATAAAACAGCAGACAAGACTGTGGAGTTAATGTTGAAAGACATGGGGCTATGGTCAGTGTCAAGCGGAGGCGTGGACAACTTTCTTAATCCTTTGCTTACTCAGGTATATGTCAGAGTTGCTGTGATCTTCCTACACCTGGAAACCAACTCAGCAGAGGGACGTCTTGGCTAGCTTCCTCAAGGTCACTAGTCGTCATGTCAACCTTGACCTATATCAGTGACCTTTACCTTCAAGAAGACCTTGTTCAGCTGTCTTGACCTCAGCATTGATGGTATTCGTGCCTTATTACCTCCTAAATATAGCCATAGACCCTCATTGCCGAACAGCCTCTGTCGGAATGCTAGAACTGCATTTACTTATATAAGTGTACAGTGTATCTTATGAATAATATTGAAGGAGCCTAGCACTAGAGTTTTATGTCACATTTCTTGCTATAATTGTCCAATGTCCATGTCGGGAAGAATAGGAAACGGAACAAACAGCTGGTATTCAAGGGGCCAGTCTTATCTCAGAAACAACCCAGCTGCTTTCTAATCTGTGGTAGTCCGTAAACAGTAGTCGTCCATGCCTTGTCCCAGTTCTTCTATGCATCTGGCAAGTCCAAACAAGGACCCCTTTCAGTTCAAATAATATTTGACAAACTATGCTTGGTTGAAATGTGACATATAAAGTCTGAAGTCTCCTTACCTTTATGTACCCTTGTTTAATTCTGTATGTTCATATATTCCGAAGCAATGATTGTCATGTGTTTGATTAATTGAACAAAGTGTTTTGCATAATAACAAACTTAGAAGTGGGCTGTATTTGAATTTAAAGATATTTCTGTGATTCTCAACATGCTGGAATAATTTCAGTGTTTATTATTTGGTGTGGATAGACATTGAGCAGCGTGTCCCACCTGTGTTAGCATTGGAAGTTAAAGTGAGGTGGGTTGTCAAAGGTTGCGCTAGTGGTCTGCTGTGGGGAGTGATGAATATTCAGCATGTCTGTAATCTCGGCACCAAGTCTGGTATTGCTCATCCAAGTGTCTGTCTGTATGTGTGTCCTTATGGGCGATAACATCCACCCAAGCCTTTCCTAGATGTACAAAACACGTCTTCATTATCTTCCTTTCACCAAGTGTAACCCTTGAGAAATGCCAGACTCAAATAGTTCCTCGGTAACCGAGACTGGTCGTGAGAGTTGATTTGTTCTTTGGTCAGGTTCATTAACTTGGTTGATATCGTATCAACCATTGGCATTGATCGTTGTTCAGAATATCATCTCTTGTTTGTTTGGTCCAGTTCAGCTATATAAGGGTTGCTGACCTGTATATCCTTGATGAACACAGTGTGTATCCTAATGTATCTGTGATGATAATGGCACAGAAGCTGATATGCTACTAGAACTGGATTTTGTATTCAGGTTCATGTGAGTTGAAAAGCTCAAATTAGTGTTTACTTTGTGAATTCAACATGTAATCATAGGACCAAATAGCTTCAGTTTCTCTGAATGTGGCCATGTGATGTCATGGTTTGCATGTACCACATTCGACAATTCTACTTCACTGCTGTGCTGCATTTAAAAGTGAGATTTGATCATCTGTTTTGAGGGCATTGTTTAGTCAGATCTCATTTCTGGTGTCCCTTGCTGTGATGCTACTGGAATATTGCCTAAAGCAGCGTAAGACCTCACTCACTCACTCACTCAATCTTGTTAAATCCAAGGACTGTGCATCAGGGAAAGGCTTGGACGACTTGGTCTGACCCTTGGCATGTGGAGTATGTAGAGTTGCTGAGTTGTATGTTACATAATTATACACAAGCATTCTGCCTTCGGTCATCTCATCTCTTATGGTGCTATTTATGTTCATATTGTATGGTCCTCTTTATCCAACCTCCGTATACACCAACTATTCACTAGTTTAGTGACAACCAATCACATCTTGCCATAATCAACGTGTTCTGAGTTCCAGCAGAGGCCAGACTGTGGTCAGCCGTTCTAGATTCTGTGTACTTGACCGCTACTGTAAGGCAATTAGCTATAATGCATCCAGCCCTCTTTTGCATGGTAGAAGAATTAAGATGTAGCTTGTTTGGATGAGCGGCATCCCCAGCTTTGAAATGTGCCAATGTGTTAGTAGTAATGTAGCTTTTGTACAGGCGTTTTAGATCGAGTTGACTCTACCAGTTATTTATTATTTCATTGGAGGGCACCTTTTTAATTCCCAAATTTATTTTGGCAATTCGTGTATTTCAATTGTAATGTTTTGATGATGTATCATGATAATGTCACTGTAATCAGCTTAACTGTGAATGAATATCAAATTTAATGCTCATAAATTCATAACCACCCTGTACTAAAACATTGTTATTTTTGTACGATGAGAAATATTTTTGAAATTACCTGAACAAAATTTTATTTTTGATGCTCAGTCAGTGACTAATTTTTCATGTGCCTTGCCCCAGAGGGGAAAGTGAATCGTGTACAGTTTTGTTGCTATGAGGTAGTCTTGTGATGTTTAGTGCACGAAGAGCTTGGAAACCAGTAAGCATGTCGTCATATATACCATACCAGTTTATCCATAGGATTCACATTTCAGATGTCATTTTCAATCATGATGTTTAATTTTATTACTGAGAAATGAAGAGATTAATATACCATTAGACCAATCTACTTTCTCCTGTCTCTAAGCCATATACTGGTTGTATATGTGTTGGTTCATCAGGGACAAGATCAATAGTTTACATTTAACGTTGTTCTGAACACTAGCGACAATCAGTAGTGACAGCAGAATAAGACGTATCAAGCAACACGATGGTGCTGTAGAAAACGTGGCAAACAATACATCCATAATGAGCAGCTATTTACTGATATTTTTGTGAATTGGATTTTTTAATAATATAATTTATCTAAAAATTTATTAAGGAACACCAATATTTTTTTCATGTGACTATAGTTAATCTGTCATACGTGATTCAAATGTCGTATGACATTATTAAGTTTGTCGTGTCATGTTATGACATTTACTGTCACCATGTGAAAAAATCAGATGTTTTGTCACATTTTGCATCCATAGTTAACAAGGGAAAATATATTTTGAGATTAAATGTGATCAAATTTTTCACCTGTTTGATTGGCTTAGTATAACAGTAACAGTATAGGTAAGATATGTTATGTAGGAGAACTTCTTAATAGAACATGAGCATCATAATAGAATAAAGAAGTTGTCGTCCATAAAATATCTTGCCTTTAAAAACCGAATTTCTTGTAGCTGAGCACAGGTGTCTATACATTAATTAATAATTGATGTGTAGTTTAATGATTCTATATATTTACTGATGTTTATCAAAAGTTAGAGGCATGTCACGATTAACATCCCATGTGTTGCGTGCTCTTTACAGGACAACTGAGTCTTACACTGTTAGAAATTAGGATATTTAAACACAAAAACCTCACTTTTCTTAACGGCCAGTATTGTTGATATTGTAAGTGTGCTATCAGCATCCATTGATGGGAAGGGTTAAGGATTAGTGTGAAACTTTTAGTGTATTCCGATCTCTGTAATCTGTCAACTTTTGTACAAACCCATTGTACTTACCTGTACGTACCTGTATTCTGTAGATACAACATTTGATGTCCTAAACGGAGTCTCTTTTCTACATTTTTGTATTAACATGCAAATAAATCTTTTTACAAATATGTTTTATGTCCAAGTTTTGTCAGCGGTGGAAAAAGCAGAAATATTAAAACTGACAGAATATGGAAATCAGCTTGTGTTAAAACATGAATCCAGACTTTTCATGGTGGGGTGTGGTCTTGTTCATAGATCCCAGGGCCCCGTTTCACAAAGCTCTCGTAAGCCTAAGATGTTGTAATTTTTCTCGTAGCATCCAAAGTCTCTATGTTACAGTATCGGAGGTACGAATGCTACGGACCACCTCCGATGGTGTAGTGTTTAGAGCGTCCGCCCGGAGAGCGGAAGGTCGCGGAAGGTCGCGGGTTTGATCCCCGACGCGTCATACCAGAAAGACGATAAAATATGGTACTTGTTGGTCCCTGCCTGGCGCTCGGCATTAATGGGTACAACAAGGACTGGTCGGCTTGGAGTCAGTATAATGTGTCTGAGTGGGGTATTCATGCTTCACTGCGGTATGGTATCTCAGTGGGCTAGCACTTTAAAACCAGCTTAAGTCTGGGCTAGTACAAGCAGCCACACATACACACGCATGCACGTCGTCATATAAGCGAAATATTCTCAAGCACGACGTTAAACACAATTTCACCTCGCCTCACGAATGCTACGAGAAAAGTTGCGAGATCTTAGGCTTACGGGAGCTTTGTGAAACGGGGCCTGGTCACAAATCAGTTGAAGTTAAGCAAGATTGGTCAAGGAAGGTGACCATGTTTGGCAGCTTGACAGCTGATATTTTCTAGAACCTTAGTCCTGGCCCACAAGGAACCACACATGACACATGTGGCCTCACCTTAGTCAAGTACACTTGTTCAAAATTGCACCTGGTTACCTTGCAGTGAAAGGGTACCTGATGGGATACGTGTTATGACTATTAATCTTGGGTTAGGTCAGACCAATTTTATTTCTTGTTTTACTGATCCGCTGGTCTATATTTTCAAGAATAAGAAACGAAATAGAAGTTAATTTTTCCCCATTCCAAAAATAAAATCCTATTGTTTTTATTGGCCAAAAATGTAAACTTACAAGAAAATATTTTTAGATTGAATTTTGCCCCATACACACATCAGAAAATGACAACAGTAAAATATTAGTATTTAAAAGGAATATTACTTTTACTGGTGATTTTGTTTTTTGTCCTCTCCTGCCTTTAGGTTTTCTATGGACAAAAATCCGTAAAACAAGAAATAAAATTGGTCTGGCCTTAACTGGGGTAATAATGTCAATTATGTTGCATGCACTTACAGCATAACTACTGTGGAGGTCAGCGTCATATAAATGGCCTTACTATTTGCAAGATGTCGGCCTCTCACTATCTGTTCGAACCTGAATCAGATATGAGGCCTGTGGGTTTGTCAGCGTGTGCTTTGGTCGTGGGTTTCACCAAATTGGTAAACTGGCTGCTTTCCTCCCTTGTCAAGGGTGTGATGTACGTTTGTTCGACACAACTGGTAAACCAGCAGTGAATGGGTACCTGGTGGGATAAGTCATATCACTATTAATCTTAGGTTAATCCCCTGGATGCGAGAAGGACATATATGTCGTTACTCTGCAACCCTCACTTTGAAGTCGAATATAATTCAAAACATATCACGCACACAAATACACTTCACAGTTTCAAATTCTGAGCGACATTTGCTGTTTCTTGATACCATTCATTATTACCTAGGCAAAGCAAAAGTGTTGAAAATGACCTTTCAAAATTGGCTACATCATAAATATCGCAATTTTTTACGTTGCGAGGTCGCGATTCATGGAGTTATTTTGGTCGTGTGAAGTACAGACAAGACCATTAATTATTGTCAACTCACTGGTCTCGTGAGAAATTTGGAAATGTTTATTTCCGTGCTGGTACGCCCAAAGCTTCCGACCTCTGTAAGGGGATCGGGTGGTCAGACTCGCTGATTTGTTTGACACATGTCATCGTACCCCAATTGCGTAGATCGACGTTCATGCTGTTGATCACTGGATTGTCTGGTCCAGACTCGATTATTTACAGACCGCCGATACATAGCTGGAATATTGCTGTGCGCGGCGTTAAACAATAAACCAAACAATACTGCGTGGTACGGTTGAATGTCACGGATTGCTGGGGCGGTGGGTAGCCTAATGGTTAAAGCTTCCACTCGTCACGTCGAAGGCCCGGGTTCGATTCCCCCAAGGGTACAATGTGTGTAACCCATTTTTGGTGTCCCCCCGCCGTGATATGCCGGAATATTGCTAAAAACGGCGTAAACCTAACTCACTCACTGACTGTTGCATCAAACAACAGCCAATCGCTTTCTTACAAATTGAGAGTGATCACAATCTGATGCGCACGTAAAATATTTCACTTCACCAAGACATTGCATGTTGGTCAAGACTGTCGTCGTCGAATACCACCCCCGTGTTGTCAACATGGACCGTCTTTTGTGTGGCATGGTGGGGGATCGAATTACCTGTCAGCTCTCACGACAGAAGTATTTTAATCGAAAATACAATTTTATACCAGATATTTCCCGGACTCACTGTAGTCATGTCAGCCATTTGGCTTTATATGGACGGGGCTGCTTACATAGATGAAATTTAAACGGGAACTTATACCGTGTTGGTGTAACTGTAGTTACCACATTCTTGTGAACCCGTGAAGATCCGGTTAGAACTGGTCTTCAGCAACCCACGGTTTTCCTAAGAGGCGACTAACGGGATCGGGTGGTCAGGCTTGCTGATGTGGTTGACACAAGTCATCGTTTCTCATTTGCGTAGATCGATGTTCATGCTGTTGATCATTAGATTGTCTGATCCAGACTTCATTATTTCCAGACCGCCGCCATATAGCTGGAATATTGCTGAGTGCGGCGTTAAACAGCTAACCGACCAAATGTCCATAACCGCGAACACCTCATCGTTCCAGTCGAAATAGGTTCTGGCTGGAGTTTTCTTCATATTTTGTGATCCTGGGAATAAGTGTATTTCTTTTAATGATCAGAACAGAGGCGTCAATCACACACTGGTCATATTTACGTCGAGACGAAAGTGTCTTGTGAAACGTCTTGCTTGAGGCGCTTGATTGACAGAAGAGACTATTCTTTGGGGACCCGTGGCTACCAAAACAACTATACTTTGTTCAAGGCGTCATCTAAAAAGGATTTTCTACCTGTATTGGACTGGATCAAATTGGCTCATCTAATGTGCTCATGATAGAGTCTGGAGCAGTCCAACTGGTTACTTATAAAATGGGGGCGGTGGGGTGACCTAGTGGTTAAAGCGTTCGCTCGTAACGCTCAATACCCGGGTACGATTCCACACATGGGTACAATGTGTGAAGCCTGTCCCCCTTCGTGATATTGCTGGAATATTACCGAAAGCGGCGTAAAACCATACTCACTCACTACTTGTATCCCTCTATGATGTCTCTAGAATGTCCACATCGTAACCGTTCAACTGATTTCTGTATCAAATGGATAGCGCACTAAAGTGTTTGGCCAAGAGTCCCTTTGGGTCTGTTTCTGTAAATTGTATTCATGAATCGGTAGATAATACAATAATGTAAAGCCATTGGTGTTCTTAGTGCGTCAGTAGAGTCACTTTACCAGCATGTCAACCTTAGCATTGCAAGTGATGTCTCGAATTGGATTTACACATTATATCCATGCGGGAACCGAACCTCGGTCTGGAGTTTGACGAGCAAAGGCTTTGACCTTTAGACTTACCAAACGCCCCATCAGGAAATGGATAGAAAGACACAATGAGAGAGCGAGTGTGGTTTTACGCCGCCTTTAACAATATTCCAGCAATATCACGTCGTGGGACACCAGAAATGGGTTCACACATTGTGGCTAATCAAACCGGGTCTTCGGCGTGACGAGCGAACGCTTTAACCTCTAGTCTACCCCACAGCCCCGGAACAAAACAGGGCACTTCCATAAACAATGTTGAACTTCCATCGACGAAGGAGGTATGTATTATTTATCATGAAATAACCTTCTCGATGACCTGTGGATCTCACCGCCGACCAGTTGCCTTCCTACTTAGGACGTCCTTCCCACCAGTCATCGCCTCCAACCGTGTACACAGTCCAGCATGAACCAGAAGCAGCTCAGGCTTTCGTTTCAGGTCTCCCAGAAGCTTCCCTAAACCTTTCGCCGTCCTCTCCACCTCATAGGTTTCTACATCTTTCAAAATGTTCACAGACGGAATGAGAAACGTCCGCAAGTACCTGCCAGAGAAGCATTTGGCCATATTGTCAAGTATGTCGAGAAGTAACGCATCCCGTGGACACCCCTCTTGCTGGAACCTAGGCATTGAGTTGAGGAGGCTCTGAAGGAGCACCTGCTTGGTCAGGGCAGACAAGGGAACAGAGCTGTTCTGGACGAAGCTCTCTACCAGAACCAGTAAATCTTTAGCGTAACAAGGGAATGAATTTTCGTTTATTAGTTTCAGAATCTCTCTGTCATATTTGACTGAACTCATCCTCCAATGAGATGCTTCATCGGATTCGGCGAGTTTGATCGCCTCCAGAACCAGGGCACATCTGTCTCTCTTACCAACTTTTTTAATCATCTCCTGTAGGTTCGTCTTCAGTCGGGGAAAAGGGTGGCACGGTGATGTTGGGAGGGTTATGTGTCCTGGCGGGACTTTCACCCAGTCTAAGCATGGGACGAACTTAATGTTGAAGCAGACAGGAGATAGCTGGGTGGAACCATCTTGTGGCTTGTCTTGTGATGGAGTTGCTGTGACACACATGATGATGACACCAGCGGCGGTGACGAGGTGCTGAACCTCCAGGTGATTCCAGCTGCCTGACGACGCCATGTCCTTAACAGCCCTCACCAAACCTGGCAGTAGAAACACGTGAGTGAGTGAGTGAGTTTTTGGGTGAGTGAGTGAGTGTATAAATGAGTGAGTGTCTAATATCTCACGTTTTGTCAACTGGTTTGGGGTGCCGATGGAGGTGTATGTTTGGCATTCTTTGACATTTACAGCTTACGACATGTAATACAACAGCCTTAATGCCACGTTGATGGCCGAAATATATTTTTAATATTCTAATTACTTGTTATTTGTTTTCGATTTTTTTTCGAAGTTTCGAGAATATAATTGAAATAACAAGTAAACAATCGAAGCATGGCCTTCTTCCATTTGTAATTGCGATATGCTCTCCATAGGCTATTCTAAACTATGCTCAAACCCTAAAAAAGGCATACATAATCTCGCTATTTTAGTATCAGTGGGTCATCCACCCATAGGTCTTTGTGCAAGGTGTTTCAAACAAAATCCACATATATCCTGTGTCAATACAGAATTCCTCAGTGACATATGTAGATCACAGCCTTTTGATGCTGCTCGGTGCCTTTCTTTACACGTATTAACGTCGACGGAAGATGCGTGCTATACAGGATGCTTAGGTAAACTTAAATTGATAAAATGTCGTACCCTGGAAATTACTCATACCTTTATTGAACCACTTCAAGACACAGTCCGATCTGAGATACCCCTCCTTGTCCACGCAATCCCGCCATTCCTGGAGCACAGACATCTGCTGTTCTTTGCTGTCGCGGGCACTGACCTTGACCTTTCCATAAATCGACGGCAGACGACTGCCTTCAAACTGGAAGAATATGCAAGTACGATAGCATGTCGCGGTGAACATGTCAAACCTCAGTCCAATTAATACTTTTAATCGGTACACTGCGTCTGTGACCTAATTAATATTTATACTGATAATACAGATAGCGAGTGTTCTTGTTTTTTAGCATTTGAGAAATATGCATACAGATTCCGTCTTTTTACTGGACGAAAATTGGGATACCCCCACTGCTGATAAGTTACATGGCATCTTATTTGTTGAAAATGAAAACTTAAAACGACGTTGCTGCATGGTGACTGACTGACTGACTGAGTTTGGTTTTACGCCGCTTTTAGCAATATTCCAGCAACATCACGGCGGGGGACACCAGAAATAGGCTTCACACATTGTACCAATGTGGGGCTTCGAACCTGGGTCTTCGGCGTGACGAGCCAACGCTTTAACCACTAGGCTACCCCACCGCCCCGCTGCATGGTGAGATATATATTTTTTTTCTTGGACGTCTGGGCTTAGTAATTCGCACAAATTGTAAACAATGTGTTACTGACCGCCTTGGGATCTAGTGGATACGGCATCTGAAAATCTGTCTCACAGTCCCTGAACCATATTATTTTCCCTTCGAAACACACACACACGCACGCACGCACGCACGCACGCACGCACGCACACATACATCGCTGAAAATTCCTGGATCCGCCTAAGCTCTTAGAGGTGTTCTGGGACCCATTTAGATTATATTTTGTAGATACACTTCCAAAAATAATGTTTCTGGGACTAAATGTTAGTTTTCTGAGATTATGAAAGTGGTAATCTGGGTTTTATTCCACTTACTACAAATGGAGAGAGTCGTGTTGGTCTCCTGAGGTGTACATGACAGACGAAGGAGCCAAAGTCTTCCTGAAACAGCACTGCCGTCTTTTCATATCTGTTAGGCGTTGCTACGTAACGCCTCCAAGAGGGACAAGACGCCATTACTCTCTCCACCAGCTGATTCGTAAAGGAAGCCGCCATTTTATATTTGAGGGCATTAACCGTCTTTAGTCGTGGCCCGTTTGTACAAACCACATGCTGTATGCATTCATCCAGAGTTGGTAAAGCTTTACCATCCTTATCCTGTATAGCATCTTCTAATAACGTTGACATCAGAACAGCGGTTTTGCTATCTCCGGTATCGTCTGCTCGACGCGCCATCTTGCTTGCACTGTCATCTGTCTCGTTTATCATGATTAAAACCGGATATTTCGCAACGAATGACGTTAGATCGATCTCTTTTAGATTCTACCTGGCAGACAGAGTTGTGAAAACACAAGTTAATCTGCTACGTCTAAGCCAGGCTATTAAATCTATACAGTGAATACCAGGATCGTCCTGATGACAAAGTGGCTTTAGAAGACACCACCACACAGGAATACAGTCTCAACTCTTCCCTAAACGATTTGTAAATAGATAGCACATGACATTCTTCCATTTGTAACAGCAGTTCCTCAATAGGTCAATCTTGAAATATCACCCGCGGCGTAAATCGATTTGTCTCCATTATCAACAAAATAATGTCTGTAAAGGTTCCTCCACAAGTGTTTACACCACCAACCATTCAGCTATATATGTGGGATCAGCGTATATGGCAGTTTTCTTTGATGCCTGAAACAGAATTACATAGATTTATACATCTCGAGATTAATCCACTGACGTTTTGAAATATACTTCAGTTTATAACATTTATAATAAACATTTAAATATTGAGTATATATTTTTATTATTAACCTTATGGGTGAGTGAGTGGGTGAGTTTAGTTTTACGCCGCAGTCAGCAATATTCCAGCTTTATGGCGGCGGTCTGTAAGTAATCGAGTCTGGACCAGATAATCCAGTGATCAACAGCATGAGTGAGTGAGTTTAGTTTTACGCCGCAGTCAGCAATATTCCAGCTATATGGCGGCGGTCTGTAATGAATCGAGTCTGGACCAGACAATCCAGTGATCAACAGCATGAGCATCGATCTGCGCAATTGGGAACCGATGACATGTGTCAACCAAGTCAGCGAGCCTGACCACCCGATCCCGTTAGTCGCCTCTTACGACAAGCATAGTCGCCTTTTTTGGCAAGCATGGGTTGCTGAAGACCTATTCTACCCCGGATCTTCACGGGTCATTAACCTTATGAAGTGCATTGAATGTATTCAAATACAAATGAAATTTAATTATATATCCTGTTAGTTTGTCCATATGGAAATCAGAAGACGATGTCCTCAGTTACTACTACATGAATCATCAAAAATATGTTTTAATCACTTGAATCATGTTAGCAACAAAAAGTGTAAAGCGCATAAAAACTATTGCTGTATGTTTGGATGTAAATCTACCTGTTTAATGCAATAAAATGTTGTTCTGAGGTATCATAATGTAGTACTGTTATCTTATGTTTTGTACTCTCGGCCATTGATCCTTTGAACAATTACCTGCAAGTAAAATGTTTGAGTGGCATTTTAGAAGTTGAGACGTACAATATAGAACAAATATTTCGCTTGACAACGGTACAAGAATCTGTATCGAAACGTCGCACTCACAAAATAAAGAAGTTGTTATCCATAAAAGTGTTCTATAAAATTACCTGCAAGTAAATGAATTTCAAATAAGGATTGGAAGCTACACATCCTCGTCGTTTTTCTAGGTTGACTGCATCTTCCGATGCTCTGTTGAGTGTCATGTTACAACTTTGTCTTATCCACCATCACTTGATGCCTCTTTGTGTTCTCGTAATTCGTCATTTCATATAGTATGACCAGAAATTATTGAGAATTTTAGGAATATGTTTAATTGGATTTCTAGTATAAACAACCTTGACCAGGTACCAAGTGCTTGGTTTCATTCAAGAGAGACAACACCGTTAATCCTTTTTCATTAGTTTGTGAAGAGTTATCCCCCTTTGTTTACTTGCTAGCAGACGACATTTTCAGTGATCCTCAGTATGGATGATTTAGAGAAGAGGAAGTTGATTTTAGAGTATTATAACAAGGACATCAGATCAGCTAAAGTGATTTCAAGTAGAACAGGCATCCCTTTGTCCACTATTTATCGTGTTTTGAAAAATATTGCAAATGGGTATGGCATTGAGCACCAGGGAGGCGCAGGTAGGCCCAGAAAATTGACTGTAGGTGGCAGGAGGCGGTTTGGTATTCTTGTTTCTAAAAACAAACGAAGGAGTTTAGAAAACTTAAGGCTGGATATGATTTATAGAGGAACTGTGGCTGTCTGTAAGGAGACAATTAGAACTGAGCTGCATGCAATGGGTTGGCAGAAAAGTCGAGGAATTCCATCACCGATCATGAAACCTGAACAAAAGGAGCGAAGGTTGAACTGGTGCTTACAGCATAGAAATTTTAACTGGGACAATGTGATTTTCTCGAATGAAAGTTCTGTTTCCTAATACACTGAAATTCTGGACCAAACAAACTGAAAAACCTATGTATCAGCGCCCAAAGTACAGTCCGAAATTTAACGTGTGGGGTGTCATATCTGTGTTAGGGGCAAAGCCCCTCTGTGTATTTGAAGGGAATATGAACAGTGAGCGGTACACAGATATTCTCGAGGGACATTTACTTCCATATGCTCACGTGTTCTATGGAAAGTTTTGGATTTTCCAGCATGACAACGACCCAAAACATCGTTCAAAGCATTCACAGGCCTGGTTTCGGACCAAAAATATGACATTATTAGATTGGCCAAGCCATAGCCCTGACATAAATCCAATAGAAAATGTTTGGGGACTTATGAAGGAAAGTGCCAATAAGAAAAATCTGACAAATATTGCTGAAATGAAAGAAGAGGTGGTCCGATATTGGGACAGCATGGACCACGACTTTCTAACGTCTTTGATCAGTAGTATGCCCCGCCGCATTGAAGCCTGCATTGCTGCCCATGGTGACTTGACAAAATACTAACTGTTCACATGTCTTTTGAGTTATGTTCTACTAATATTCACATTTCGAACTGTACACTTTATTATCAAGAAAATGTAACATTAAGCGAGTCATGACAGTTTGTGTTTTCTCGAGTTCCGCTCGTAGCCCCTGAGCAACACTAACTAAAATCACATGATCACGCATTGTCTTTAAGGAAAGTTTATATTTTAATGTTCTGCCACAGAGAGAAGGGGAAAACAAAATAAAGACATGATGGTCTCTCATAATTTGCATTTATACTTTTAGCACACGTACAGCAGTTTGTGTCAATATAATTCTGTGTATATTATCCACACCCCGTCTAAACGAAACACACAATAATCGACAAATCTATGTATAAGAACCTCTACATTCTGAAATGCTCCACAAACCACTGCTTCTGTTCGAAAATAGAACTACATTTGTGACAGCGTTCGTTTGACAGGGCATTGAATCACGTGATTCATGACTTATTTATTCTGTCAGAATACGTTTCAGTCGGTAACGACAAAATCTGAGTAATTGACCGATTCAGATAACATAAGGTAATTCATCGCTTATTGTTGTCAAATTCCAAGCTGGCACAAACCACGAACGGTTCTGAGTAGGTCGCCGATTACCGGGACGGTGATCGTGGAGATATACAAACGTGTGTGGAATTTGTCTGCAAGTATATCCAGCACCACAAGAGAGATATATGTATCTATACGTGTCAGGGTTCCTATAGACAAATTGAATAAACACTATACACTGACCTCGTAATAAGGCTGTCCTTTCGTTGTGGACAAAGCTTCGTGGCGTTATGAAAGGGTTGCATGGTGAGAATACACTGCTCCTTTATCATACTGTAGCCATCGGTATGTTTTAATGTAATCAAGATCATCACAGAATATATTTACCATTATTACGAAGTAAAGGTTATTCATTCAGGGTTTGCCCTGAACATGTAAAAGAGAAAAAAATAAAATGGATTAAAGACCAAAAGTCAATTTAAACATGAATACAGCTCTCTAGAAAAATTCATGATCAATATCCAAAAATGTAATGATCATGATGTAATAATGTAATAAACAGGAACGCACAGGCACTTGAATATAAACTTGAAAACTGGATTTGTTAAAACATTTGCAAACGTCATAATGTCTTCGGTTCCGAATTGCGTAGATCAATGCTCATGATGTTGATCACTGGATTGTCTGGACCAGGCTCGATTGTTTACAGACATCCGCCATATAGCTGGTGGTGTAGTGGTTAGCATGCTGGCCTCTCACGCCAAAGGCCCGCGTTCGAATCCCGGTGGAGACACCAAAATTTGTGACCTGGGTCTAATACTGTGTTGTGTCCCTGGGCAAGGCACTTCGTCCACATTGCACTTAGTCCACCCAGCTGTTCAAAATGGGTACCTGAAAAGCGGATGTACGGACCTATATGGTCGCGCTTAGCGCTTAGATAGCAGCTTTGAAAGGTTGAAATTCCGTCAGGGTAATAATGTAACGCCAGAGAACAGCATCGTGTTGGATTCTAGGCGCAAAAATTGGCAATATTATTATTATTATTAATATTGCTGAGTGCGGCGTAAAACAACCAACCAACCAACTAACCATCAACACGCCCCTAGTCTGGAAACAGTCACGGAAACGCGGTGAGAATTCTAAAACACAACTGTGAAACACGTATCAAATAAGACACAATTAACCTTTTCTTGTCACAGTTAAATAGATGTGTAGTTTCTTTTGACTGTCAGTTTAGATCCTTATATTTAACCTGTCATCGTGAAAGAAGAAAGATAACCAAGTACCTCTGAATCTGAACATGTTCGCAGTTGTGTTCCAGGATATATGATATCTGTAGGACTATGTGTTTATGTGAACTATACATATTTATAAAGTAAAACTTATGTAAGGAACATATGTCGGTAAGTACAAGTTTTGACATACGTAACTTCACGATCAACAGAAATCTTACTTGAAGCTCGACCTCGCGTCCCCGATGTGATCTCAGCACGAGCGGCGGTCTACCCTTGAATAGCGAGGTCCCAGTGCAGTAGTTTGTACAAGTGGATAAAGCACAGTGAATGTAATTATTGGCAAACGTCTCACTGTAAGGTTTGTTGACACCTGTACACGTGAGCACACAATGACCCCCCTTCATTGGCAGTGAGGTAATGCTGGTCTCTCTCGCGTCACTGAGCTATATAAATCAGGGAAATAAATAAGTACGAGGGTGGGCGTGGATGGGGTGGGGATAGAGGTATCTACATTACGAGGGTAGGCGTAGATTGGGGTAGGGTGGGCGTGCATGGGGTGGGGATAGAGGTACATGTATCTACATTACGAGGGTAGGCGTAGATGGGGATAGGGGTGGGCGTGCATGGGGTGGGGATAGAGGTATCTACACTTCGAGGGTGGGCGTAGATGGAGGTAGGGTGGACGTACATGGGGTGAG